GAGACCAGGATAAATTCAGAATCCAGCGTAGGAGGGTTAAAAAGACAATAAAGAGAAAGAAAATAAACTACAAGGGCAAACAAGAGAAATATAAAAATTGACAATAAGGGGTTCTTCAAATATATAAAAAGGAAAAGAGTATATATAAAGTGAGCATAGGCCTCTTAGAAAATGAATCTGGAAAGGTAGTTATCGAGAACAAAGAAATGGCAGAGAGTTAAACAGATGTTTTGTATCCATCTCTACGATGGAAGATACATCAAACACCCTATTAATAGTAAAGAATATAGAGGAAGAATTAAGTACCATCACCATCACTAGAAAGGTAGCATTAGATGAACTAATAAGGTGAAAGGTAGATAAATCCATTGGTCCTGATGGCTTGCATTCTAGAATCCTAAAAGGAGTAGCTACAGAGATATTGGGTGAATTGGTTGTAATTTTCCAAAACGCCTTGAATCTGGAGAAGTACTGGAGAATCGGAAAGTTGCCAATGTGACACCCCTATTCAGAAAGGGATGAAGGCAAAGAGTAGATGACTATATCCGATTTGTCTAGCATCTGTTGTTGGAAAAAATGTCAGAATCAATTATTAAGGGAATAACAGCAGAACATTTGGAAAATCATAATCTAATCAAGAGAGTCATATGGCTTCATGGAAGGGAAATCACATCTGAAGAATTTATTTACAGTTGTTCAAGGAAGTCTCAACTAAAGTGGATAGAAGGGAACCAGTAGGAGCCAGAAGACAAGGTACCTCACAAAGGGTTAAGTCATAAGATAAGCCCATGATATTGGAGGTAGTATATTATTAAAATAGAGCATTAACTAATTGCCAGTAAACCGCAAGTGTGGAAATGTGGTTCTTTTTCAGGTTGGCAACTTGTAACCAGTGGATCAGTGCTGGGACAACAAATGTTTAAAATATATATTAATAACTTGGAGGAAGGAAATGGATGTATTATAGCCAAATTTGCAGATGATGCAAAAATAGCTGGAAAGGCAGGTTGTGAGTTGTGAGAGTGATACAAACAGTTTCTGAGGGATATTGATATGCATTTGTAAGGCCAAATTTGGAGTACTGCGTACAACTGTGGTCACTCTGCTATAGGAAGGATGTTATCCAACTGGAAAAGGTGCAATAAAGATTTACAAGGATGTTACCAAGACTGGAGTGTTTGAGTCATAACGAGAGGCTGACTCCTTTTTCCCTGGAACTTGGGAGGCTGAGGGATGACCTTATAGAGGTTTATAAAATCAAGACGGGCATAGATAAGGGTAGGGGACTCCAAAACTGGAGGATATATTTTTAAGGTGAGAGGGGAAAGACTTAAAAGGTACCTGAGAGGCAACTTTTTCCACATAGAGGGTGATGCATATGGAACAAGCTGCCAGAGAAAGTGGTAGAGGCAAGTACAATTACAACATGTAAAAGACGTTTGGACAGATACATAGATAGGAAAGGTTTAGAGGTATATGGGCCAGTTGCAGGCAAATGAGCCTAGTTCAGTTTAGGAAACCTGGTCAGCATGGATGAGTTGGGCAGAAGCGTCTGTTTCTGCGCTATATGACTGACTGTAAATGGGCAAACAGTTGGAAAATGATGTATAATATGTGAAAATGTGAAATTATTTGAATGGAGAATAACTGCAGAAGGCTGCAATATATAGGAATTTGGGGATACTTGAGTATGAAACACAGGAAGCTATCGCATAGGTATTGCAGGTAATCAGGATGGCTAATGGAATGTTATCCCTTATTTCAAGGGATTGGAGTACAAGGATAGAATATTGTAACTGTACAAAGTGCTGGTGAGACCACATCTGGAGTACAGTGAACAGATTTGGTACCTTTATTTAAATAAAGATATCATTCCATTGGAGGCAGTTCAGAGAACATTCACTGGGATGATCCCTGGAATGTAGGGATTGTCTTATGAGCAAAGGCTAAACAGGTTGGCATACTACTCAATTTAGAAAAAATGAGGTGATCTCATTGAAACGTATAGGATTCTTAAGGGGTTTAATAGGTAAATGCTGAGAAGATGTTTCCCTCATGGCCACAAAAAATTAATGGTCCAGATACCATACCGCATTTTTTTTCTATTCATTTTGTGGGATGTGGGCGTGTCTGGCTAGCCAGCATTTCTTGCCCCTCTCTAGTTACCCTTGAGAAGCCTTCTTGAATCGCTGCAGTCTCCTGCTGCGGGTTGATCCACAGTGCTATTAGGAAGGGAATTCCAGGATTTTGACCCAGTGACAGTGAAGGAACGGCAATATATTTCCAAGTCAGGATGGTGAGTGACTTGGAGGAGAACTTGAAGGTGGTAGTGTTCCCATATATCTGATGCCCTTGTCCTTCTAGATGGAAGTAGTCATGGTTTTGGAAGATGCTGTCTGAGGATCTTCGGTAAATTTCTGCAGAGCATCTTGTAGATAGTACACACTGCTGCTACTGAGCGTCGGTGGTGGAAGGAGTGAATGTTTGTGGATGTAGTGCGCTGCTTTGTCCTGGATGGTGTCAAGCTTCTTGAGTGTTGTTGGGGCTGCACTTATCCAGGAAAGTGGGGAGTATTCCATCACGCTCCTGATTTGTGCCTTGTAGATGGTGGACAGGCTTTGAGGAGTCAGGAGGTGCGTTACTTGCTGCAGTATTCCTAGCTTCTGGCCTGCTCTTGTAGCCACTGTGTTAATGTGGTAAATCCAGTTGAGTTTCTGGTCGATGGTAACCCCCAGAATGTTAATAGTGGGGGATTCAGTGATGGTAACACCATTGAATGTCAAGGGACAGTGGTTAGATTGTCTCTTATTGGTGATGGTCATAGCCTGGCATTTGTGTGGAGCAAATGTCACTTGCCACTTGTCAGGCCAAGCCTGGATATTGTCCAGATCTTGTTGCATTTGAACATGGACTGCTTCAGTATCTGAGGAGTCACGAATGGTGCTGAACATTGTGCAATTACTGGCAAACATCTCCACTTTTGACTTTATGATGGAGGGAAGGTCATTGATGAAGCAGCTGAAGTTGGTGGGCCTAGGACACTACCCTGAGGAACTCCTGCAGAGATGTCCTGGAGCTGAGATGATTGACCGCCAACATCCATGACCATCTTCCTATGTATCAGGTATGATCCAACCACCGGAGAGTTTGACCCCTGATACTCATTGATTCCAGTTTTGCTAGGGGTCCTTGATGCCACACTCAGTCGAATGCAGCCCTGATATAAAGAGCTGTCACTCTCACCTCACCTCTGGAATTCAGCTCTTTTGTCCATGTTTGAACCAAGGCTGTAATGAGATCAGGAGCTGGCGGGAGCAGGAGCAGGTCCCTGGCAGAACCCAAACTGGGCGTCACTGAGCAGGTTATTGCTGAGCAGGTGCTGCTTGATAGCACTATTGATGACACCTTCCATCACTTTACTGATGATCGAGAGTAGACTGACAGGGTAATTGGTCGGGTTGGATTTGTCCTGCTTTTTGTATACAGGACATACTTTGGCAAATTTCCACATTGTTGGGTAGATACCAGTGTTATAACTGTACTGAAACAGTTTGGCTAGGGGATTGGCAAGTTCTAGAGCACAAGTCTTCAGTACTATTGCCGGAATGTTGTCAGGGCCCATAGCCTTTGCAATATCCAGTGTCTCCAAATGTTTCTTGATATCACATGGAGTGAATCAAATTGGCTGAAGACTGGTATCTGTAATGCTGGGTACCATTGGAGGAGGCCGAGATGGATCATCCACTTAGCACTTCTGGCTGAAGATTGCTGCGAATGCTTCAGCCTTATATTTTGCACTGATGTGCTGGGCTCTTCCATCATTGAGGATGGGGATATTTGTTGAGCCTCCTCCTCCACTGAGTTGTTTAATTGTCCACCACCACTCACGATTGGATGTGGCAGGACTGCAGAGCTTAGATCTGATCTGTTGGTTGGGGATCACTTAGCTCTGTCTATCACTTGCTGCTTTCGCTGTTTGGTGTGCAAGTAGTCCTGTTTGGTGGCTTCACCAGATTAATACCTTATCTTCAGGTATGCCTGGTGCTGCTCCTGGCATGCCCTCCTGCACTCTCCATTGAACCAGAGTTGATCCCCTGGTTTGATGGTAATGGTTGAGTGGGGGATATGCTGGGCCATGAGGTTACAGATTGTGCTGGAGTACAATTCTGCTGCTGTTGATGGCCTATAGCGCCTCATTGATGCCCAGTCTTGAGTTGCTAGATCTGTGCAAAGTCTGTCCCATTTAGCACGGTGATAGTGGCACACAACATGATGGAGGTTGTTATCAATTTGTACAATCATGTTATACCAGGTAACTAAAAAGGAAACAGTTTCATAACTCATGTTGGAAGTCTTCAGGTTAATTAGCTCAAAATTCACATTCACATTCTAAAACAATTTGCCTCCAATTAATTTTCTAGAATTTCGAATGTAATTGCTGTATCCATCCCCTAATACTGACTTTATCTCTCCCTTTGGCAACAGTTTGAACAGTCCGTTCACAAATTTGATTTCTCATTTGATCCTAAGATAAACTTCCAATGTCAAATTCATGACATCTCTAACATCACCTATATCCACTTCAGTAATATTGCTCAATTTTCCCCTGTCTCAGCGCATCTTATGCTGCAACCCTTGTTCATGCTTATGTCAATATACAGTGTTGACTGCACCAATGCACTCCTGATCTCCTACATTCTACTCTCAATAAGTTTAAGATCATTCCAAATGTTGCTGTCTATGTCTTAACTCACACCAAGTCCCATTTCCCCATGGCTTTCGTGTTTGCTGACCTTAACCAAGCTTTTGGTCACCTGGACTGCTGTCTCCACATGCACCTTAATGTCACATCTTTCTAATGTTCCTATGAAACGTCTTGGGATGTTTAATTTGGTTAAAACTGCTATACACATATATGTTGTTGTATTGATGGTTTGATAAGTCAGTGATGAGAAGAATTTTAATTGAAAAACTAATATGTTCTAAGAGGTAACACGAACCTTGAATTCTTTTAATAAACTCTCTAATCCTGTGCTCTGTTCTTCACTCACTGAGCGACCAAGGTTTTGTTCGAGTAGTGGAAGAAAATTTTGAAACACTCCAGTGCAGTAACGGTTCCATCGCGTGGGGTGCTGAGCTCTCCATTCCATGATTTTGTTCTTCAATGCCCATTCAATTCTAAATCACAATGAATAAGCAGAGAATAAAGCACATAATAAAATATCTGTACAAACCCAAGAGGTAGGATTAGAAGTAGGCCATTTAGATCCTGGAGCCTGCTCCACCATTCACTATAACCATTCTGCTGATCTGTTTGTGTTTCAAAATTCACATTCACATCTAACCCCAATAACCATTGATTCTGTTCCATAACAAGAATCTATCTATCTCTGCCTTACAAGCATTTAATGGCCCTACTTCCACCACTTTCTGGGGCAAAGGGTTCCAAAGTTGCACAATTCTATGAGAGAAACAAATTTTCCTCGTCTCAGTTCTAAAAGGGTGAAACCTAATGTTAGAACAGTTCTCTTAAGTTGTTGACTGATCAACAAGAGGAAACATCCTTTCCACATTAACCTTTCAGGACTATTCAGGATCTTATAAACCTCAATCAAATCATCCCTTGCTTTTCTCAACTGAAAACAAGCCCAGCCTGTCCTCTCATTCCAAATGTCATTTTGTGGAGGGAAACAACCCAAAGTTCACTAGCCATGGGAAAAGTTTTAAACATTCAACTCAAGGATGGGTTACCGCACCAATACGTTGATTTGTTTAAGTGATTAATTGTGTATTTAACATCAGATTTCTCCATTAGATAAATGTTATTTTTCAGGCTTAGTTCAGCAAAAAGGCCAGCTTTTAACAGAAAAGTTTATCTATGCAACAGCAATTTAGCCAACATAATCTATAAATTAACCTACATTCATATCTCTAAGTGCTATAATGATAGCTAGGGTATGGTGGTGTCCTCTGCTGATCCTCCAGGAAGAGCATGGCCCTTCTCTGCACTGTCTCTCTACCAGGACCGCCAGGTCCCTTATCAGAGAATCACTGAATCATCTTCCCTTTCTCTGAGATGTTCATAAGCTGTGTGGCATTAGGGAAGTTTTAGAATGCCAATGCACGTCCAGCTGTACAGCAGCCTTTCAAAGATGACATGGCCACAAGAGATACTGGTCTTTTGGCAGATATTTGCTGAGTGTCAAGTTGAGTCAGGAACAACACATCGCAAGATGGGACCGGAATCCAATGTGACAAACACTACAGGGACTGAGCAGTTAGGTAATGCATTGAGCTTGGTAAGATATGGTCATAACTCTCTAAGTCCAGCAGCAGAAATCCCTCCAAAAAGTTCAATTCAACTCTAATATAGAAAAGAAAATAATGCAAGATGCTGCCTGAGGGTACATCAAGGATTACATTCTGCGAGCTCTAACAGCTTCGCTCATACAAGTTTTCATTTTTGACCTTATTAAGTATACTGCAGTCTTTCATGGTGCTTTTTATGCACTATCTTGAGCTTAAAGTGGCAGAAATGCTCACCAGTGTGGGCATCTTCCAATGTTCATTCCACGAGCACCATATTCAAAGTTCAGCTGTGCACCAGTTCAAGTGCTGCAAGCAAGTAATAGCCCTTCACAGTTCAAGTAAATTTGTAAATACACTTGTAAATATATTTTCATTTTACATCATCATCTGTCTGATTGATTGTCATTTTTAACTGTAGCTATAAGAATGAATTTAGGGAGACTTTCATTTCTCAGTGCTACACCATATTAGAACGATGTCTGGAGGAATGTTACTCTTTCTCGAGTGCCCATTGTAGCATCAATTCTGATCGTGTTTGAATGTGGAAGCATTAGATGTTGTGAAGTCTTCCAACTATTTGTAATGTTAACGTTTTTAGCCAACAGGAAAAGCCAAAACAGAACGAACGAAAAGCTTGCAATTGTGTTTGGCAATGAACATTGGCTGCTTGTTTTTATGGCAGCAGCACGTCTGCTGTTAATGAATGACCCAACTCAGTTCCATTAGGAGTGAGTGTCAAATAAGTCCTGGTTTGTTACAGCTATGCTTTGTGCTCTGTCATGGTGAAGGTGATATTTCATCTAATCAATGCCCTCATCTTCCTCGTTAGAAGAATCCTGCTGCTTTTACAAAACCTCATTGTCCATCAGACCCCTCGTTGTCTGCTCCATTTGTCCAAAGCACAACAGACAAGGATTATGCTGTGAACTCTGTAGCATACTGCAAGGTCTCTCCACCCCCCCAACCGCACTCCCACCCCGCCCCCGAAGCATGGGAACATCATTTTGAGGAGGCCCATTGTGTGGCCCTTGGTGGCCCCAGTGGAAGAATGCAAGGCATTGCATGTACACTGGGCCTCAGGGATTACGTGACAGAGTGATCAGCAATGGTAGCTTCTCTCAGAGCATCCACCCTTGTAAGGCATGTGACCTTTGAATGAAACAAGAACTTGATAAAGTTATTTCGCTCGATGTTGGATTTATCAGGAATATAGCCACAACTGTAAATGATATGTAGTGTACTATGATAATGAATTGAATGCAAAGTACTTGTTTAACAAGTCTGACAACTACTGCATGTTGATTTGCACTATAACTTGCATCTGTCTTTAATGGGCCCATGTTTCCTTAGCTAGTAATTGCTTTTTACAGTTCTCCCAATTAGCTGAATTTTCACTTTTTTTTGCATTTTTGTAAGCTTCTTCTTTTAGATTTATTCTGTACCTTACATTGATTCCGGTTGCCTATCTACACAGGTAGAGCTTTTACCTTTAAGATTATGTACCGGGTTTTGTATATTGAAAAAGTATTCAAACAATACAATAATAAACATAGCTTCTACCTGCTCTGTAATTTATCAACAAGGCTTCTTTCTGTGACGTGGTAGATTAGTTCTGACGGCTAGAAAACATTTTAGTATTATATGTTACAGATGTATTTAAGTATCTAATAAAAATAATTTCTTCATATTACTGAATCAATCAAATTGAAATATTCTTTGTACAACAATACAAATAAAGTTATTTCATTAAGGTACATAGGAATATAGAAGCAGGAGTAGGCCAATCAGCCCATCAAGTCTGCTCTCATATTCAATTATATTATGACTGATCATCTAAACTCAAAGTCACCTCCCCGTGCTATCCCCATATCCTTTGATGTCCTTCATAGCCAGGAATCTATTGATTTCTGGCTGAAACATATTTGATCATTGAACTTCTACAAATGTCTGTGGTAGAGAATTCCAAAGATTCACTAACCTTTGAGTAAAGAAATTCTTCTTCAATTCAGTCTTAAATGATCTAACCTTTACCCTGAGACGATGTCTCCTGGTTCTATACTCTTTGTTAAAATCAGTTTCAAAACAGGCAATTGTGTATCAGCAGGTAAATGTTATTTCAAGATCATGAACCATAATGTTGACTTTAATATTTCAGATAAACCAGAATCAACTACCTGTACAGAAGATAATACATAATTCTGGGAACCCTTGGTGAAGAATGGTCGCCAATTATTTTCCTTTGTGACATCAAAATTTATACTCATAGGGAGACTGTTCTTTTGAATATTAGCCCAGACCTATAAGAATGTGTTTCAAAAGTCAGTACATAATTTTTAAAAATTACTATACATTAATTAAAATATTTAATAGTTAAATCAGTACCAAGAAGTATAATACACTATGCAATAAGAATAAAAAAATTCTGGAAAACTGAGTGGGTCTGACAGCAACTGTGAAGAAAAAAAGTAAGTTTTAGGTGATGATATTTTATCAGGCACTCTGTTTCACCGTTTTCCATTAACTCTGTTCCTCTCTACGCAGATGCTGTCAGACCTGTTGAGCATTTCCAACATTTTCTGTTTCTATATCAAACTTCCAGCATCCACAGCATTTTGCTTTTGGATTAGCTTTCAGTAGGTTTCATCTTGTCTACATCTCTCAAATTTCCAAAGAATTTTTTTTCTAAATTAGATTGCAGATAATGTTATACTCCAAGGATCATTAACACCATATTCCACTGCAATATTTACTTATGTTGAATGCAGAAGTTTGGGAACTACTTCAGTTTACAACTAAATATACCATTATGGCAAAGATAAGAGGAGTGAAGTGTCTTTCTTTAATTCTCCTACTCCACAACATAAATTGAATTGATTTATCCGGTTCCCAAAATGGCCAATCATATACTTCCTCTGTACTAGACTTTAAAAGATCTATCAATCAGTTTCTTTAATAAACACAGTATTATTTATTTATTACAAGAAAAATTATTCAAGGATGATGCAAACTGCTTAACAGACTCATTTTGTCTATGAAAATAAGTTTACTCCTCTAAATAACTCAAAACATATATAAACACAAATTCTGGGTAAGGGGGAGGAATACAGTTACTTTCTATATTGTTTTGGAACAATAAGTGTTAGTTCTTGAAGGCAAGAAGTAAGGAGAAAGTGTGGACTATGTGAATGGCTGACAGTCTAATGTTCTTATGCATGAAGGCACCAATCACAAGCAGTTGACTGCAGGGTCTTTGCCATTGCAATAATCAGGTTTCAATCTGGACCAAGCCTCTAGCTACCAGACTGGACTGACAAGAAGAGTTTTCTAGAAACAGGAAGGCTGGGCTGGGAAGCACTTTTCTGTCCCGAAGCTGGCCATGAAACAAAATCCCAAACAATTTCGAAGTAGATGTTAAAACCTGATAGTTGTAAAGATGGGCAGATGTCTACAGTAAACAAGCAGTTATCATAAGTGTCATGACAACTGATCATAGTCCCAAATTATTTATGGGCATATTGACTTTTTAAGGAAGACAGTATTTCTTATTTAAAAACATTCAAAAGGACATGCAAGCTAAAGATGGCTTGGATTGTAAATTCAAATATAAATAAGGATATAAATCCAAACTATCTGGAAAATTCCTGGGTGGAATCTTCTCAATCCCAAGACAGCATGGAAGGTCACATCTGGAGGTTGTCAAGGAACTTTGGATAGAGACACTTCAAAGGAAGAACTGCAATACAAAAGCTGAACTGTAATCTCATGGTTACAAGGATAATGGCAACCATTGCCAACTTAGCAGAAACTATTTCCTATGAGTTATATCCCATATATGGACAAGATATATAAAAACGTAATTCTTGGCAAAATATATATATAATATCTCATTCTAGAAATACACAGTGGAAGGGCTTAAAAAAACCAACTGCAACTCAGATTTCTGAGTGCTGTTCTTCTGTTCAGTTCTATTGGGTTGATGTTTACTGCGAAGGTCATAACCGAAGAACATTCACAGCAAGTTTAAAGAAAGTCTGTCTCTCTTTCATTACGATTTATGGAAGCAAGTCACAATAAATCCACCATCTAAAAGAAAACAGGACTACTGCATTCAGCTAATTTGCAGAACAAAGATGCTGAAGGCCACGATCAATGTTAATAGCATGAACCAACTTAACAACCATAACATTCCACCATTAACTAATCATAGACAGGCCAAAAACTGACTAATTTATCTTTTTGCTAACTTTTCTTTTCAGAACTTATATCATCTCTCACTACTGCCCTGATGTCGTCGTTAAATATCAGAACAACACCACATCTCTTAACTTCTTATGTGTCCTTCCGAATAGTCTGATTCCTCTGGATATTTAATTCCCAATCGTGACCATCCTGCAACCATGACTCTGAAATGGCTTCTAAATCATACTCATTCTCGATAATTTGTGCCGTTAACTCATCTACCTTGTTTCAAATGCTACCAGTATTTAGGTAAAGTGCTTTTATGCTAGTTTTTATACCTTCTTTTTGAATTCTAACATTTCCATCAATGATATCTCCTGAGTTTACCTTCCTCTTAACTTCTTTCATAGTCCTCAATGTAGTTAAACCCACCATTATACTTCCTGTCATTTTTCCCCTTCACTTCCCCTATCTCACTGGTTTAAAAGTCCGAGTGACCACTCTATTTATCCTTTTTGCTAGAACACTGGTTCCAGATCGGTTCAGTGGAGACTGTCCCAATGGTACAGATCCTTCCTGTTACAAAATTGATGCAAATGCCCCATGAAATGGAACCCCTCTTTCCCACACCACTCCTTTAGCCACATGTTTACTTCCCTAATTTTCTTATCCCTATGCCAATTTGCACGGGTAGTAATCCAGAGATTATAATCCTTGAGGACCTGTTCCTTAATTTATTAATAGAGATGTTAGAATTCAAAAAGATGGTATAAAAACTAGCATAAAGGCACTCTACCTAAATGCTTGTAACATTTGAAACAGGGTAGATGAGTTAATGGCACAAATTATCATAAATGAGTATGATTTAGTAGCCATTACGGAGCTATGGTTGCAGGATGGTCACAACTGGGAATTAAATATCCAGGGATATCAGACTATTCGGAAGGACAGTCAGGAAGGTAAGGGACGTGGTGTTGCTCTGATATTTAAGGATGACATCAGGGCGGTAGTGACAGACAATATAGGTTCTACGGAGAATAAGGTTGAATACATTTAGGTGAAAATTAGAAATTCTAAGAAGAAAAAGTCACTGAAAGGCATAGTCTATAGGTCACCAAATAATAACATCACACTGGGATGGACAATTAGCAAAGAAATAACTAATGCCTGTAAAAATGTATGGCAATTATCATGGGGGATTGTAATCTACATGTCAATTTGTCGAACCATGTCGGTCAAGGCAGCCTTGAGGAGGAGTTCATTGAATGTATCCATGATAGCTTTCTTCAACAATATGTAATGGAACCAATGAGGGAGGAAGCTATCCTAGTTCTGGTCCTGTGTAATGAAACAGGGATAATTAATGACCTCATAGTTAGGGATCCTCTTGGAAGGAGTGATCACAGTATGGTTGAATTTATAATACAGATGGAAAGTGAGAAGATAAAATCCAATACCAGGGTCTTGTGCTTAAACAAAGGAGACTACAATAGGATGGGGGAGGGGTTGGCTAATGTAGACTGAAAGCAAAGACTCTATGGTGGGACAGTTGAGGACTTTCAAAGCAATTTTTCATAGTGCTCAGCAAAAGTATATACCAGTGAAAAGGAAGAACTGTAGGAAGAGGGGTAATCATCCAAGGATGTCTAAGGAAATAAGGGAGGCTATCAAATTGAAAGAGAAGGCATACAAAGTGGCAAAGACCAGTGGGAAACTAGAAGATTGGGACAACTTTAAAAAAAGCCAGAAAAAAAGCTATAAAGAAAAGTAAGATAGATTATGAGACTAAACTAGCTCAGAAAATAAAGACAAATAGCCAAAGTTTCTATAAATGTATAAAATGAAAAAGAGTGGCAAACGTAAACTTTGGTCCTTTAGAGGATGAGAAGGGGGATTTAATAACAGGAATAGCTGGGGCATTGAATAGGTATTTTGTGTTGGTTTTCACAGTGACACAAGTAACTTGCCAGTAATTGATGACAAAGAGACTAAGGTAGGTGAAGACCTAGACACGAACATTATCACAAAAGAGGTTGTGTTGGGCAAGCTAATGGAACTAAAGGTAGACTGATCCTGATGGAATGCATCCCAGGGTACTAAAAGAGATGGCGGGAATAATAACAAATGCATTCATGGTAATGTTCCAAAATTCGCTGGACTCTGGGGCAGTTCCAGGAGTTTCAAAAACAGCCAATATCTCGCCACTGTTTACAAAAGGAGACAAAAGATGGGGAACTATAGGCCAGTTAACTTAATTTCTGTAGTGGAGAAAATGCTCAAATCTATCATCAAGGAAGAAATAGCAAGACATCTAGATAGAAATTGTCCCATTGGGCAGACGCAGTATAGGTTCATGAAAGGCAGGTCATGTTTGACTAATTTTCTGGAATTCTATGAAAACATTATGAGCGCAGTGGACAACAGGGACCCAGTAGATGTCGTGTATCTGGATTTCCAAACGGCATTGGACAAGGTGCCGTACAAAAGGCTGCTGCATAAGATAAAGGTGCATGGTGTTACCGGCAATGTATTAGCATAGATCGAGGATTGGTTAGCTAACAGGAAGCAAAGAGCTACAGCATGCTGCTGTACAGAGGGACCTAGGTGTCCTTGTGTATGAATTGCAGAAGGTTGGTTTGCAGGTAAAATAGGTAAATAAGAAGGTAAATGGAATTTTGTCCTTCATTGCTAGAGAGATTGAGTTTAAAAACTAGGGAGGTTATGTTGCAGCTTTATAGGGTGCTGGAGGCCATACCTGGAGTACTGCATGCAGTTTTGGTCTCCTTACTTAAGAAAGGATGTGCTAACGCTGGACGGGGTGCAGAGGAGATTCACTAGGTTGATTCCAGATTTGAGAGGGTTGGCTTATGAGAAGAGGCTTCAAAGACGGGGATTATCATTGGAATTTAGAAGAATGAGGGAGGATCTTATAGAAACATATAAAAGTAAAAAAGGAATAGATAAGACAGAAGCAGGGAGGTTGTTTCCACTGGCAGGTGAAACTAGAACAAGAGGGCATAGCCTCAAAATTAGGGGAACCAGATTTAGGACTGAATTGAGGAGGAATCTCTTCAGCTTAAAGGTCGTGAATCTGTGGAATTTCCTGCCCGTGAAGTAGTTGAAACTTCCTCATTGAATGTTTTTAAAGCTAAGATAGACAAAGTTTTGAATAGTAAAGGAATTAAGGGTTATGGTGAGAGGTGGGTAAGTGGAACTAAGTCCATGAAAAGATCAACCATGATCTTATTGAATGGTGGAGCAGGCTCGAAGGGCCAGATGGCCTACTCCAGCTCCTGGTTCTTATGTTCTTATATAAATACACTGAAAATGAGTAAGATATCCACGAGGGAAGGGATTCCTTGTGCTAAATCTATTATGTCCAACCAAAGCAAGAGAGACGTTGGGTAAAGAAGGGAGCCAGTTCCTTCCTCCTCACCCAGGTGTGTAACAATTTGGAGATATCATGTCCAGCATCATAACAAATTGGGCATCTTCTCCTGAGATTAGTCATAACACAATGCATGTGGCTTTCAACAAATATCTTATTTTAAAGATACTCCACTGTGCTTTCATCAGCCTCTTAAAGAAATATCATGCACAACCCTTCAAACTCAAGCTCACGAAAATAATTAAGTATGAATGCATCATAACCTCCAAACTTTAAATAAATGAAATTCTATTTTTGAATGCATTCCATCCCAAAGTCTAGACAAGGATAGATCTTTTTAAAAAACTAAGACATAGTTACACACCCATTCTCATCTTCACCATATCATTACCTTAGTTGTAGGGATTGGTTAGCTCAGTTGGTTTGATGGCTGGTTTGACAACAATATGGGTTCAATTCCCATATTGGCTACGGTTGCTATGAAGGTCCCACCTTCTTAATCTCTCACCTCACCTAAGACTGGTGACCCAAAGATTAAACCACCACTGTTATCCAAGATAATGCCAGCACAGTAGATAGGTTTGGGCTCATCGGAGCCCATCCACTCCAGACTGGCAGCATCATTTTCTCAATGTAATATTAGACTTTTTCCTTTGTCTTCTTCCTTTCTTCTTCATCTACAATGCTGGACCGGTGTCGGCAGAGTGGCAGCTGTAGTGTGGATTGGGACTCCTGGTGGCGGTGGCTGTGTCCAGAGTCTGGATTCCTGGTGGCAATAGACGTGGAGCCTAGATTCTAGGAGGTGGCAGCGTCTGGAGTAGGGACTCCTGGCGGCAGTAGGCCTGGAGCCTTGGACTCTTGGCGGTGTTGGCGAGGCAGGGGCGGCCGCAGAGCAGGGGTCTATTTACCCTTTCAATGGCCCTCATGATTTTATAAACCTCTATAAGGTCACCCATCGGCCTCTGACACTGCAGGGAAAAAAGTCTCAGGCTATTCAGCCTCTCCCTATAGCTCAAACCCTCCAGTGCTGGTAACACCCTTGTAGATCTTTTCTGCACCCTCTCAAGTTTAACAACATCCTTCTTATAGAAAACCAACCAAGTTTGTATGCAGTATTCTAAAAGTAACCCACCAATGTCCTGTACAGCTGCAACATGACGTCCCAACTCCTACATTCTATGCACTGATCCATGAAGGCAAGCATGTCAAATGCCTTCTTCACCAACCTGTCTACCTGTGATAACAAGGTGTAGAGCTGAATGAACACAGCAGGCAAAGCAGCATCAGAGGAGCAGGAAAGCTGACGTTTCAGGCCTAGACCCTTCTTCAGAACTTAGGGAACTTAGCACCTGCACCCCTCGATCTCTTTGTTCGGCAACACTCCCCAAGGCCTTATCATTAACTGTATAAGTCCTGCCCTGGTTTGTGTTATCAAAATGCAACACCTCACAATTATCTAAATTAAATTCTGTCTGCCATTCCTTGGCCAATTGGCCCTTCTGATCAAGGTCCCATTGTACTTTGAGATAATCTTCTTCACTGTCCACTTCACCACCTTTTTTGGTGTTATCTGCAAACTTACTAACTATGCCTCCTATATTCACATCCAAATCACTTATATAAATGACAAAAAGTAGTGGACCCAGCACTGATCTTTGTAGCACACCGTCAGTCACAAGCCTCCAGTCCAAAAAGCAATGCTCTACCACCACCCTCTGTCCTAGGGGAAGTGAACATCGCACCTCTGCACAATTCCGTTCACCAGGAATTTTTGATCAGTGCTCGCAAAGCGGGGTGTCAATTTTCCTTTGTTTGTCATATCCAGGGCAGATATCAGGAACAATGCATGGCAGCTCCAGACTGACAGTGCCAACCTGAGTGCACAACAGTATTTTACAGATGGTGTCAGTGCCAGGATGTCATCCCATTCCAGGCTGAGTTGTCCTCTATATGGTGAGTGGTAGAGAGGAGCTAGAATTGGATGATAGAGTGCCAATGGAATTGGGTATGTAATGAATGAGTTTGATGAGATGCAACAAGAAAACCATCAGGCTTCACAGAGAAATACCCTCCATGAAACTTGACAAAACTGGCACTTTGCCAAAACAATGTAAAATTCAGCCCCTGATATCTTTCCTTTTATCTTTCCATTGTTATTATTACCCACTTACAATTAATTGTTCTCAGGATTGGATATCCTGCTGCAAGTGCCCACTTTTATGTAATGACTGTGCTTTCTCTAGTCCTAGTACTCCACGGGACATAGCATAAACTGAATTATTTTACTGAGTTCCTGATATGGCTAATCACATGCATTCTCTAAATTAGACTTAAAAAATCCACATAACAGGTTTAACACAGTTTGTATGATGAAAGTACAAATGTTTATCTATTTAAATAAGTCATCCACTGATGTCCAGCACAGCTAGTGCCATGTACAGCTGTGCTGTGACTACCTCAATCTTCAAACCAGCATGCAATTTTGGTGTCACTATCAAATAGGCTGTGGATCCACCAGAGAGCATTGTGAAGAGGCCCTTTGCTTTCAACCTGCCTCTCCACAGCTTTTTTAGGCCCCCACATGCACTCCCAGGTTTGCCTACAGTTGTTCAGTTCCTAACAAGTGGGAAACGCAGGGCTGGCCCATCTCACACATCCATTACTCTACATGTTTCATCAACAAGGCCATGCTATGAAGATCTATACACCTTGCATCCAGTTGGCAATTTACTCCATATATCCAAGAGGGTTGGTACTCTCTCGATCGATGATGCCACACATTCACATGTCAGATAGATGGCACCATTATGCATGGATTCCTCCATCGTTTGCACTTGTGACTGAACTGCTTCAAGAAGATTTGACTGATATTTGCATATTTCATGATTGAAGAAATGATAGACTCACGGGGGAAAGCGCATTGTAAATCAAAACCCATAATCCTTGAGTTGTTGTTAACATGAAAATTTGAGTAAACTGCTGAATTGCCCCAATTTTACCATCTAATTCAAGTTAAAAGAATATGCACACTAGGTTTCTTCCATTCAAACTGATAATCAAACTGTTTTTTACCAATGGCAAAAAGTAGATAAATTGAAATGTGGATCTGTAGCTTTAATTTAGTTCTTTTAAAAGTTCCTATTCACACAAAAGGACAGTCACACAAAGGCAGACAATACATGAATGTGATGGGTGGTCAAAAATAAAATCAGGGAAACACAATTTCACGATACCAGTTCGGACCACAAACATTGATGAATTGTATTCTTTTGATGCTGTTCACCTCTTTGCTGATGCCCCAAGGTTGTGAGTACGCCAAAATCAATCTTTCATTCACTGATTAAGAATTTGCCCTTCCACTGTGTCTGAAGATGTTGTCCCCCTTCTCCATTCAACAGGGGATTTGCAGAGAGAGCAGGTTACAAAGTCAAAGGAGAGTAGCCAACCACTAGAGATTTTCTTTTACTTCTCCACACAGAAGGGAGAGAAAGAGATGAATATTTTCTCTTCACAGGCTGAATGTTTCTGCTGTTAGGTCAGATTAATCAAAAACTGTGTTTGGCATATAAAGTGTATAATAGCCTGTTTAATGATTTAATTGAGACAAATGTGATTTAATGTTTAAGAATACTCACATTTTCTTTATTGATCAAACAATCAGCACTTTGAAGTGGACAAAAAGCATTGTACTGGTCATAACACTCTCCAGTTTCTGGATTCCAAATCATGGTGGCCGTTTTTTCTTGAGTAATCACATACGCTGTCACTCCCTTTAAAATAGAAGTTGTGAGGTGATACAAAGGAATATCTTTTGAATAACTAAAATATAACCTAAAGAAAAGGCAATATCAACGTTTACAATATGCAAGTAAAAAACAGGAACATTGACAAGTTGGCTGAAATTCTTCATCCACAATTTGTTGACAGTCGAATAGAATGGCCACAACCTTCAGGACTCACATAAATAGATTCTATCTAGGGGACCTTGTTCTTGGAATTATGTAGAAGTGAGTAGAACTTCCAGCCACACATTCTTTGACTCTTCTAATTCACATTGAAGTAGAATGTTTTTCATCCTATTTGGAATAACAATTTACTGAAATTATCCTTAACAAATATAGTGATTACTGATCGGGTAAATGTCATTGATTCTACGTAATATATACTCAATTCTAAACAAACCTTTATTTGTCACCCTGAAGACAGATTGGATTGAAGTAATAAGAGCACTGAAACATTACACTACATAATAAAATGGTAAAATAATAATAGGAGACAGTTGAGGAGTGACAATATAACTGGACTGGTAATCTAGAGGCTAGGCTTATTCCACTATGGCAGTTGGTGGAAATTAAATGCAATTAATTACATTTGCAATAGAAAGTTAGCCTCAGTCGTGGTGGCTATGAAGCTACCGTTAATTGTCAGAAGACTCATCTTGTTCACTCGTGCTCTTTAGGGAAGGAATATTGGCAACTCTTGCCTGATCCGGCGTAAGTGGGATTCCAGCTCCACTCTACCTCAGTTGACTCTTAACTGCTGTCTGAAATGGCCTGTCAATCCTCTCAGTTCCAGGACAGTAAAGGGTGGGTAACAAATGCTGCCTTGCCAGTGACACCTCTATCCCTTGAAAGGATCTCAAGAACATGAAGTAACTAGAAATGTCAAAAAAGTAGCTCCAAGATACATTAGCTTGGAAAGATAAGAGGAAAGAGGAGATTTGACCCAAATGGAACATCATGAAGTTTTCAAAAAAGTGTAAGGTTACAATAAATAATCTATCATGCTTTATTATTATTCCTGCTTCATCATTTGTTTGAGTTTCTGTGGTTTTGTTTCTTCTTCAAGCTAGCTTGCAACATACGATTGCCCCTACTATGCTGAGCTGTTAAATCAAGATTATATCCTTTATGTCAGTTTAAAGATTATTGTGGACTTCAAGCTCTCTACATGCAGAATCCTCTGAGCTAAGTTTTACCACTTCATTGGAGACTGGGTAGGAGGCTTGACAACCTTAAACTTAGAAACCAGTGCATACCCACTGACCAAGGTGAGGTGCTGGAGAGACAACTCATCAGTGGGCCTATTAAAATCATTAAATGGTCAATTTAATGGACATAAGAGCCTCTACTTGCCGCAACTAAAATTTTATATGTGCCTTTAGAAGGATATAACCTCTTAAGGAGAACATGCCTCGTTTTTCAACATTTTTTGTCAATTAGAGCTCTCCCCTCGATCACCACCAAGATCACCCTTCCCCCACATTTCCAATAGCTTCTGCTACTCCTCTTTCCCACCCCAGCCTGGCATAATGCTGGACTGACACCAACACAACCGTACTGCCTGCTGGGATTGGGTGCAGTTTCAGAAAGAGACTTGGCTTCAAGTGGCACTGCTGGGACCAGAGAACTGCCAGCTAGATATTGGCCTGCAGCTGTCAGAGGTGCAATTTCCTCTCCAATAAGGCAAAAGGCTTATCTCACATCAATTAGTAGCACAATGGTCATTAAATGGCTATGCAGTGAGCTGGCCAAGCAAAGATAATGATGGGAAACTTTGATTCTTCTGCCCAGCATTAAATTCAGCCCATGTTTGTTAGTAACTCATGACAATAAGTTTAACATTTTTTGGAAGCCCCTAAAATACCGGAAAATATCAGAAAGAAGTTTTGCTGCTTAGTGATAAGTTTCCAAAGAAAACAAACATCTGGATCCATTTACTAAAATAGATAGAGTGGATAAACTATACCATTTATATCAACTACACCATGTGCTCTTCCAGCATAAGGACTGGTGTTAATGAGAAATATGAGCAAAAAAGTCAAGTACACAGACTACTTGATGCTCATTCCTGTAGTAGTCTAATTTGCTCATCTAGCTTCTAAACTCCTTCCATGTTGATGACTCAACAACTTTACAGATTAATCCAGAGATTTTTCACCTTTTGAATAAGAATGCAGTTTCCTGCATTGTTTTAGGTGTGCTTTGCACTAATTTAGTTATATTTTGCTTGATATTTTTGAGTGAAATTATGCTCTGAGGTCACTCTGTTTTTGCCATTTGATAGTTGCCGTAATCCCAAAAAGGTTATATCATAGAATCACTACAATGTGGAAACAGGCCATTCGGCCCAACAAGTCCACACCACCCCTCCAAAGAGCACCCCACCCAGACCCATTCTCCTAATTTCCCACATCTAACCCACCTAACCTAAACATCCCTGGGCACTATGGGCAATTTAGCATGGCCAATCCACCTACCATGCACATCTTTGGACTGTGGGAGGAAACCAGAGCACCCGGAGGAAACCCATGTAGACACCGGGGGAATGTGCAAACTCCACACAGACAGTCGCCCAAGGCTGGAATCAAACCCAGCTCCCTGGTGCTGTGAGGCAGCAGTGCTACCCACTGAGCCACCATGCCATATAGTGAACAAATATTAACAAGTATGAGAAAACGGATCTCAGCAAAATGGGGAAAGTGTGATCATCATTTAATATATCCCTATCATTATGATCCAATAATTTTCTGCCATGCCCTCGAAAGAGCTGGATAAAAAGATTAAATGCTGGTAGTGAGGTGTCCTGAGTGAATGAATAGATGAGGCAAATGGCGTGCAGGGTTAATAATCTGCAGTAGAGATGGGTAAGAGATAATGAAGGAAGATATTGCATGCCATAATAAGAGCGTAGAGCATTAGCTTTGATGGGAGGTGGCTACAGTAGTGGAGTCACAGTGAGTGTGAGGTAACAGAAAGAAGATTGTGGCATGTACTCTCGTACAGTGTTGAAGGTATTGACCTTCCCGCAACATTGCTGGGCATCTCTCAAGTTTATGAACCTCACATTGACCCTGGTGGAAACTTTGGACCAGCCTGGCATGGTCTGATGCTGTGGTCTCCTCTTATGCTTCAGAGAAAAGAGGATGGCCCTGTCTGCACTACGCCATCCACTAACTCCTTCAGAACCTTCAGGTTCTTCTCCGCAAAGCCATGAGCTAACCAACCTTTGTTTGCGATTTCTGGAGCAATTCACATGAACTGTACAGAGTACTTCTGGACTGACAGCACTTGACCTGATTTGAAGTGCACAACTGGCGACAATGTATGCAATATGACAGGCAGCAATCTCATCCTCATTATAAACTCTTCTGGTCATTATCTCAGCCACTCTACCCCAGGTCCAGGGCCTTTCTGACATTTCAATTGATGCTCATCTTGATTGCTCTATTAATTAGCTGATTTCTGTTCATTCAATTGGACCTTTACTGGTTTTCCCATTCTCTGATAACCTTCCCTTCTACCCACCCTTTTCATCATCCTTCCTTTCCTAATGAAGGCTTTTGAGATCGCAAAAGGTTTACCTGTGCTCCTCAGCTTTGGAGACAGCGTTTAGTCTCAGCAGGGTAACTGCTCCGAGCGGCATTGCTGGCACCACAAAGCTGCCTGCCAGTCGGATTGACCAGCAGCCTCCTAAGGTGGGACTTACTCCCAAGAAAGATGTGGCTAACATTACATTGCTGCAAGGTAGCTGTTGCGCTTGTGGATTGCTCTGTTTGACTTTTTATTTGAAAGGGCAGAAACCACAGCACAGTAAACTTGGAAAGAAACTGTTTTTCTTTGCATTTTCTTTTTTCCATCCTAAATTATAGTACTTTCACATCTTGAACAGTCACATGAGTTGGAAATTAAATAGAAACATAAATCTTTATAATTACTGTACTTACTTCAAGAATTGAGGTTCCTAACAGCACAAAAGCATTCACCTTCATGTACAAGAAGTAGTTACAAAGAAGGACTGCATGGTCTTCTTTACCTCCAAGTATCAGATTAAGAAATTGCTAAATGTAAACAAAATGAATTAAAGCTATTATATAGCATTCTTGAAGGAAACATGTTCGAAACTATTACTCACGTGTAAGTTATTAGCATTTAAAATCCCATACTTTGGAAATTGATAGATTGTACCAGAGGAACAAATGATATTAATAAATTAAAAATACATATGTAGTACACCATGAGGATAAGTTTATATGTAAAAACTTTATTAAGCTCATAACATTAGTCCACAACTTAAATTTAAGTCACAGCTAGGAACAGATTTAAGTAATGTAATCAGCATATTTGTCCTCTAAAATATATAACATTTATCCTTGGTGTTCTACTTGCCTGTGATGTCAGCCAAGTATTGCAGGCATCTGAAAAGCCTAGGTGATCTGGAAGGTATGGAATCAAGGACACAAATCTAGCTATAAGATTCTAAAATGGGAAATGGTACCAATTATATAGGTGTCAATAATATCACAGTTAATAGAAATATAAACTGTTTTATAAGTATAAAGGCAACTTTTCATTTATTTGGAAGCTGTCAAAACACCTTCACAATTTATTCATTTATTAGATAATAAATAAATGCAGTAAATTTAACATATATCCATTGATGTAATATAGAGATCATAAGTAATAAGTTGTTAAACTTAATATATTTTGCAAAACAATAATTTCCAAACTGAATAAACAGTACACCTAACAATGACACAGGTGAAAGTTTTAAATTGGTAGGAAGGGAAGGGTGACCTCTTTCCGCACATTAGGGATTCTATGCTTTTTTTTGTAACTAAATAAGGGTTTGGTGAATTCACAAATGATTTATACAGGGCTGAATTTTACCAGAAATTGTCTTAAGTATTAGTTACATTGAGTTTTTGCAGCGTTCTCACATGACCAAACTCACCTCTTAAATTAGGAACCACATTCCACAGTGCCTCAGACATCCAATGTTAGCTCAGTTGTCCCACTTGCTGTCGGTGAAAGTTCTTGCCAATCCTGATGTACCCCAAGCTGGCACTGCATAATAAAGGGCAGATGCTCCAGGCATTCCAGAGCAGCTCTTGTCGGTTGGAAACATTTGTTCTGGACATGGCAAACAAGGGAAAATTGGACCCTTGCTTTGCAGACAGAGACTGGAGGCCCTGGTAGATGGGCTGGTACAGAGAAGGGATGTCCTAATTCCACAGGACCAGCAAAGGAGGCCAAAATACCAGACTATCAGCCTGGTCTGAGGTTGCCTAGCAGTGTCAAAACAAGGTCAAAGACTTTCTCCACACTGCCAGGGTCAGTGCCATCATCTTTGCTTCATTACCTCACCAAGATTCATGCTCTACCACATTTGATATTGCATGTAAATACGTCCCCCACTCAATTCCCCCATCCTATTAACCCGGCATGCCTTCTTTGCTGTCCAGTCACTTGCTTGGGACACCGAACCACCTCGCCCCTACCTGTAGCTGTGTGCCACCTGCGTTCATCTTATTCAATCCCTCCATTTCTCACATTTCAGCAAAAAAAAGGCTCATTAGGAGGGCTGAAAGAGGCAGGTAAGGTGGTGGAATGCTGGATATTCAGCTCCCCACTCCTTATGAGGAGACAATCCTGATCCTTGCTGGTGGGGAATGAGACCAGTGGCAGGAGAAGGGGATGGTATCAGGAGGCTGTCAGATGCTTTGGATTAACTACCTCAAACTTAGTGTGGAGATGCTGAAAGAAAGATGTTGTGAAGTAAATTTTGCACAACCAGGAAGGAGAGATCACATCCAGAGCGAGACACAGCCTAAGTGAATATATAGTTTGGGGAATTTGGAGGCATAGTTGAATTTAGGTGGGGGAAAAGGTGATTTTTGCTTGCCTTTTTTGACTTATAGTTAGTAAATTTTTTTAAAGAGGTTTAACTGAAGCCCAAGTTCAGGGACCAAGTTCAGTAAGAAAAAGAGTGACATCACAGGTAAACCATAATTTCATTGGTTAGTGATAGCTACTAATTTGACTATGGGTACTTGCAGATTGAAGATAAATAAAGGAATTTGTGGGCTACAAACTAAAAGACCTGAGTGAATTTTTTAAAATTAACTTAAGAACTAAGTAATTAAAACAGAGATGTTGTGCCAGGCAACGTGTTATAACTGCATGATTTGAGAGATGGTGGACCCCATTGTGGGTCATGGTGACCACATCTGTAGCAAGTGTTGATTGTTTGAGGACCATCAGCTCAGAGTTGATAAGCTGGAATCTGAGCTTCAAACACTGTGACACATCAGGAAGGGGGAGAGTTATCTAGATGCTGTTTTTCAGCAGGCAGTCACACCCCTTAGATTAACTATCTCAAATTCAGTCAGTGGTCAGAGAGAGGAGGGTGTGACTACCAGCAAGGCAGGTAGAGGGACCCAGGAGGTAGCGCTGAAGGAACCTCAGCCCTTGAGTTTGTCTAACAGGTTTGAGATTCTTGCTTCCTGTTTGGATCCAAGTGGGGGCTGCTGGGAGGATGAGAAAACTGACCATAGCAACATGGTACAAGGAGCCATTCAAGATGGGGGAGAAAAGAGAAATGTATCAGAGGGATGTAGGGATAACTCTTTAAAACCAAGATGAGGAAGAATTTCTTCAGCCAGATGATGGTTAATCTGTGAAATTGTTTTTTCTTTATTCATTCACAGGATGAGGGTGTCACTGGCTAGGCAGCATTTATTGCCCAACCCTAATTGCCCAGAGAGCATCTAAGAGTCAACCACATTGCTGTGGGTCTAGAGTCACATCTACGCCAGACAGTAAGGATGACAGTTTCCTGCCCGAAGGACATTAGTGAACCAATGGGTTTTTCCAACAATTGACAATGGATTCACAGTCATCATTAGACTCTTAATTCCAGATATATTTTGAATTCAAAATTCCATCATCTGTCGTGGCAGGATTTGAACCTGCGGACCCAGAACATTATCTGGGTCTCTGAGGAAAAGGGAAGCACTGGTGAGACTGCCTTCCATGCCATGTCGCCATTTAAGAAACTAACATCTTGGTGTGGACATACAGAGTGGGAGAGAGGAAGGACAGAGACAGTCACCAACATCAAAAACAGCAAGAGAGAGGATCCTGTGATTCTGAAACAGCATGACCAGCAGTTTGATAAAGCGCACAAAACAGTGCAGGATCAGCAGCTTCTCAAACAACTTGAGAGAGTGAAAAAAGCAACTTCATAAAGAGGAAAGCAGACTTGTGTGAAAAGAGTCATGGTGGTGTGATATAAAAACCAGCAGCACAGAGCCCCTTCAACCTGTTTCTACCTATCAGAGCACAGGAAAACAAATGGATTTTTCTTCTGTGATTCTTTTGTTTGATCAATTGATTTAAATCAGAAAACATCATTGCAGCTGAAGAGTACAATTAAGAAAAGCAATTTTCAATTACTTAACATTGAAATTAATTAAATAGAACGGAGATGGCCAGGCAGGCAATGTGCTGCCTCTGTAGTATGTTGATGATGATGAACACGGTGTAATTTGCAGTGAACACATCTCCAACAAGTGTTTGCTACTCCAGGAACATCAGCTCAGACTTAATGAGCTGGATCCTGAGCTACAGACACTGCAACAATTCAGGAAATGGGAGATGCACCTGGACACTGTGTTTCAGGAAGCAGTCACACCCATTAGATTAATTATGTCAAATTTGGCCCATGGTCAGGGACAGAAGAGTGTGGCATTAAGTGAGGCAGTATGGGAATCCAGAATTTATCTTTAGTGCAAACTCAGCAGTGCCTGGTCAAAGGCACACACCATAGACTGGACAAGCAAACTGACCACAGCACCGTGGCCAAGTTGAGGGAGAAAAAGAAAATGTAGTAGTAATTGGGAAGAGCATTATTAGGAGAATGGATACGGTTCTCAGCAGCAAAGTCAGAGAGTCCCAAGGGCTGTGTTATCGAACTGGTGGAAGGTGGCTCAATGCATCCACATTCGCTACTCTGTCTCCGAGACGGCATTCTAATTTATAGTTATAAGCACTTATTTCACCATTGAATGGGGCCTGAAGCTGTGAGTGGCACTTCCTTGTCCTCTTTAAACAGACCAAGTAGGAAATTGTTGTCTGTGATTATCACGAATTTTCATCCATAAAGGTATTGGTGGAACCTCCCGACTCCCAATATGACGACCAATCATTCTTTTTCTATCTGGGTGTATTTATATTCTGCATTAGCCAAAGTCCTGGATGCATAAGCTATTGGGAATTCCTCTCCATTAGGCCACCTAGGAGCTAATACCACCCCGATGCCATACAGGGAGGCATTGCATGTCAATACCAGATCTTACTTGGGTTCATAGTGTGCCACAGGGATCCCTGATTGGACCAGATTAACAGCCCCAATCAGTGAACTCATATTCTATGATATTCAGCAGGCTGACCTCATTACAATCCCTACACTGACATCATCATCACCAGTACTGTGTTGTTGCTCTGTCGTGTATCATCCTCTGCCAGAAAAATTTCTACAATGTCTTGCAGCTCTCTAATGATCCTTGCCTTCTCCTTAACAATTTGTGCTCTCTACGTCTGCAAGGTTGACACAGCGTAACTGTGAATAGTTCTTAGGAAATGTGGCATCTGATAAATGCAGTAAAAATCACGGAGACCAGAATCAGACACATGGGACTGGGTTTTTACACTGCTTCCCTGGTATGCTAGAAGGTGGTGGGGTGATTGTAAAATGCAGCATGTGGCCTGCCTACCGAGGTGCCTGATCTGTCACCCATTTTATGAGTGACAGTAGAAACGTCGGACATTCTACCCAAACTTGGGCAATTGATGCTGTAATTGATTTAATTAATACTTAATGGCAAATAAAGCCTTAACAGCTCCTCCACTCCCCTGTTAATACTTTACCCACAGCAGGAGGAGGCCCATGCCAAGCAAATAGGCTGGAAGCTTTGTCTGTGGAGCTTGAGGGCAGGCATAGAATGGGACCTCCTTTGGCAGTCCTCTTGCCATTCATAGTAACTCCCCGAGGTCATAACCCCTTTTAACATTTTCCCTAGACTTTCAAACATGTTACCCCCATCATCTTTATCTGAATGTGTAAAGAAAAAGGAAAAATTGGCAATCTAGCTAGGAAGGCCCCTTGGAGAAGAGTGATCATAATATGATAGAATCCTTCACTAAGATGGCAAATGACACAGTTGATTCTGAGGCTAGGGTCTTGTATCTAAATAAAAGAAATGATAATGGTACCAGGTATGAGCTGGCTATGATGAATTGGAGATTTTTACTTCAAGGGATGACAGCAGATGGGAAATGGAAAACATTTAGAGTGCTTCGGTGAACTGAAACAATTGTTCATTCCAATCTGGCACAAAAAGAAAATGGGAAAGTTAGCCCAACAATGGCTGACGAAGTTAATTAGGGAATAAAAACTGAAAGAACTATGGATGCTGATTAAGAGGGGGAAAATGAAGTATAAGAGTATGCTTGCAGAGAACATACAAACTGACCAGAAAAGTTTCTATACATAATTGAAAAAAAAATGATTAGTGAAGACAAATGTACATCCCATACACTCAGAAACAGAGGAAGTTATAATGGAGAGCAAAGATGGGAGACCAATTAAATACATGTTTTGATTTTGCATTAAGAAAGGAAAAAATAACATTCCAAACATGTTGGAAAAAACAGAGCCTGCTGAGAGGGAGGAACTTAAGGAAATCAGTGTGAATAGGGAAATGGTGTTGAGGAAGTTGATGGGACAAAAGGCTGATAAATCACCAGAGTCCAATAACATACATCTCAGAGTATTGAAGAAAGTGGCCTAAAAATAGTGGATGTATTGGTGGCTATCTTTCAAGATTCCACAGACTCTGGAACAGTTCCTATGGATTGGAGGATAGCATTTGTAACATCGCTATTTAAAAAAAGATGGAGAGAAAATCTGGAATGAGAACAAAGAACAGCACAGTACCAGAACAGGCCCTTTAGCTCCCCCCTGCATGCATTGACACATGACACTTTTCTAAACCAAAAACCTTTTGCCTTTACCTGGTCCATATCCATCTATTCCCTGCTTATTCATGTATGTGCCAAGATACCTCTTAAATGTTACTGATGTATCTGCTTCTCTGGCAGCATGTTCCAGTCAATTACCACCTGATGTGTAAACAAAATTTCCTATTAAACTTTCCTCCTTTTACCTTGTACCTAGTAATTGAATTTCTACCCTAGGAAAAAGGCTCCAGCTATTCATCCCATCCATGCCTGTCAGAATTTTGTAAACCTCAACAGGTCACCCCTCAGCCTCCAATGTTCAAGTTAAAACAAACCAAGTTTGTCTAATCTCTTGTCATAGCTAATACCTTCCAAGCAACATACTGGTAAAGCTTTTCTGTATCCTTCTGATAGTGTGGCGTCTAGAATTGTATGCAATATTCCAAATGTGGTTTTTCTAAAGTTATATACAGCTGCAACATGACTTGCCAATTTTTATACTCTATGCCCTATCTGATGAATGCAGGCATGCCATATGCTTCTTGATCCCCTTATCGACTTGTGTTGCCTCTTTCAGGGAACTGTGGACGTGTATACCTAGATTTCTCTGTGTATTAATGCTTCTAAGGGTTCTGCCATTTACTGCATTCTACATCAGACCTTCCAAAATGGATCACCTTGCCTTTGTCTGGATTAAATTCCATCTGCCATTTCTCTGTCCAATTCTCCCTCTCTATATCTTGCCACATTCTTTGGCAATCCTCCTCAATATTAGCAGCTCCTGCAACTTTTATCTTGTCCACAAACTTATTAAACAGACCACCTACATTCTGCTCCAAATCATTGATATATATTACAAACAACAGAAGTCCCAGCACCAAACTATGCAGAACACCACTGATCACAGATCGCCAGTCAGAAAAACACTCTCCACTGCTATTCCCTGTCTTCTATGACTAAACCATTTCTGTACCCTTCTTACCAGCTCACCACATATCCCATGTGACTTCATCTTCTGTAATTATATGTTAGTTTGACATCATGAATTGGGAGTAATGTGAGAGTCCATTATAAAAGATTTAATAGTACAATATTTAAAAAGTAGCAGCAGGACAAGACAGGGTCAGCATGGATTTACAAAAGGGAAATCATGCTTGACAAATCAACTAGAATAGTTTAAGGATGCAACTTGTAGAGTTGATAAGGGGGAGCCAATGGATGTAGTTTGCTTAGACTTCTAGCTTCTAACAAGTTCCCACATAAGAGATTAGCATATAAAATTAAAGGGTATAGAATTAGGGTTAAAGTACTGATATGGTTAGAAAACTGATTACTAGACAGGAAACAAAGACAAGAAGTAAATGGGTCATTTTCTAAGTGGCAGCCAGAGACTAGTGGGGTACCACAGGGATCAATGCTTGGATCCCAGCCATTCACAATACATATTAATGTTTTGGATGAGGTATCTAAAAGTAATATCTCCCAGTTTTCAGACAGGATAAAACTGAGTAGGAGGGTGAGCTGTGAGGAAGATGCAGAGTTGCTTTAGTGTGATTTGGACTGTTGAGTGAGTGGACAAATGCATGAGAACAAGAAGTAAAATGTGGATAATTGTGAGATTAACTTTGCTAGCAAAAGCAGGAAGGCAGATTGTTATCTGAATGATGATAGATTGGGAAAGAGGGAGATGCAACAAGTTTGAGGTGTCTTTGCCCACTAGTTGCTGAAAGTGAGCATGTAGGTACAGCAGGCAGTGGAGATGGCAGATGGTATGCTGTTATTCAAGGCAAGAGGATTTAAGTATAGGAGCAGGGATGTCTAGCTACAATTGTATAGGTGCCTGGTGAGACCACACGTCAAGTATTATACACAGTTTTGGCCTCCTTATCTGAGGAAGGATAGTCTGGCAATGGAAGGAGTGCAACGAAAGTTTACCAAACTGATTCCTGGCATGAAGAAAGACTAGATCAATTAGGACTGGAGTTTATGTGAGTGAATGAGGATCTCATAGAAACCTATAAAATTCTAGTGGGACTAGACAGGGCAAATTCAGGGGACATTCCTAAAGAATGGGGAGTCCAGAACTACAGTTCACAGCCTAGGCATACTGGCTTGGCCATTTAGGATGAGATGTGGAGAAATTTCTTCACCCAGAGAGTGGTCAGCCTGTGAAATTCATGACCATAGAAAGTGGTTAAGATCAAAATATTTAATGTTTTCATGAAGGAGTTAGATACAATTCTTAGGGCTGAAAGGATCAAAGGGTATGGGGAGAAAGCAGGAACAGGGTGCTGAGTTTAATGATCAGCCATTACCAGATTGAATGGTGGAGCAGACTCAAAGGGCCGAATGGTCCACACCTGCTCTTATTCTCCATGTTTCTAACTATGTCCTCCATCAACTCCTCTTCTTCAGGGACCATCCGGCATCCCAGCAGTGGGCACTAGTTAAACGTTGCGCTGTTGGAACTAGAGAGCTGCCTGTCACTCTGATTAGCACACAGCTCTCTATACATGACTTCTTGTCCAGACGGTAACAGAATCTCATCATACCGAGTGCTTTTTGTATGTGGAGCAGCCACCTTAATTACGGTTGGGTTTCCATCCAAACTTTTAGCTGGGGCATGGGAATACACCCTCTGCAAAATCCATCCCGTGGTAAGGGATGTGTGACATGCCTTTAAGGATTATTCTTATAGCAAATTCAGGATACGTGAAGAGAGTGGTTGTGGTGACAACAATCTTCCCACAGATCACAACAACAACTCCCTCCAGTTCCTTATTGCTTGTGACAGCACATCCAAAGATACATAGAAAGATTATAGAGCAGTCTTTTCCTCCTCATGCTTGTGATTCAACTTCCTGGGTCTTTTAGATCAACCTGTTCAGACATATTTTTAATATACCCTTCCACAGCAGGTGGGACTTGAACCCAGAACTTCTGGTCCAGAAGTAGGGATCTTGATGGGCATAAATTGTATCATGCACTGTTAAATGATAACAATCCTCTTCCTACATTTCAGAAATGTAAAACCTAGAAGTAAAATGATGATAAGGCATTTCCATTGAAATTAGACATACCTGCCTGTACCGAGATGTTGCTTGTTCATCCCCTGCAATTAGAATCTATCCTTCTCCATTCCCTTCCCATCACCTCATTAAGTCACAGTATTTGAAGTGGGAGATCAAATTTGTTCCAACCTTTTATCTCAAGGAATGCCAAACTCAATCCTAACTGGTCTTAAAGAGGCTACCTGGAATCTTCAAGTGAGATTGTGTTTGCTTATCCACAGCAGAATGATGAACAGCCCTGAATTTTGTGGGAAAATTCCATAATCTTTTTCCCTTTGTCTGGGTGCCGACCCCATTCTCATTTCCCAAGGTCTCTTCTCAACTACCTTACTTCAAAAATCTTACCTGCATTCCACGTGGCAAAGTGTTGCTTATCTCTTTGCCCATATAACCGTGGTTCAGTCATCAAGTCAATTTTCTTCTCTGCCACTTGTTGTGACTAGGAATGTAGCAATGGATCCTCATGCATATCATGGTATTTTGGAAATAAAGCTAACCTCACTGCATAAGAGGTCAGCTCTTCATTGTTTTCTGAGATTATTGACCATGAGATATCAGGGCATGAGTGGGGTGTTGGGGCTTTTAAATCATGGAGTAACAGTCAGTCAAAACCTGCTAGTTGACCATAGAATTTTAATAGAACTGTACATTATTAAGGGAGGTGCTCAGGACAGCAGAGAAGAAGTAGTATTTGATCAGGAGTTCTAGGAGTCAATAGGCATGGAGGAACAGAGGATCTGGTTAGCAAGGATAGTGAAGAGCAGGTTAATTTTTAAAAACCATGTTCTCCAATTTAGCATTACTTAGGATTCTTAAGCTCATTGTGCTATATTAGTTTCTTTATGAATCCAACAAATAATTACACTGTGACATACAAAGGTTGCCTTGGAATTTTCAGGAAATATATCAAGCAGTTCTTGTGGTGGACAAAGTGGTCTGATATATCTTGTAACAATCCCAACTCTACATTCAGTGTCAATAGTATTGACAACGACTCTTCGCTTTGGGTAAAGATTATGAATGTCTTTTTGAAATATATATGCCATATGTAACAGATCTTCATCTTCTGTTGTTTCCAACTGGAGAAAAACAGAAGAGATAAATATTATTTTTAACTGTAATGAGATAAAAATGATCAAATATCCATTTTCTAATCAGATTACTAACCTGCCAGAGAGGTGGTTGGTTGTCTTCCTAAAGCAAAAGCATATGTGTTTAGAAAAAAATTCTTCTCATTGCAAAATACCACAGCTAAAAAAATGACCCAGCCAATTCCCAATCTGAATATACTGAAAATTTCTTAAAATGCTATTTAATGGCCTGGAATTAAATAATTAATTTTTTATACATTCAATTGAAAACTAATTTTAATTAAGTTGAGTACTTACAGTATCTGAACAAGAAACCTGAGGATCCAAAGTCATAAAGATTGTTAGAAGTGAGCTTTCTGCAAGTCCAAACTCATAAAATTGCTCACAAGAGCCTGTATCTACTTTCTTCCAAGTATATCCTAGTAACATCGGTGGGGTATCTATTCTGAAAGTACCATTCACCTAGCCATCATAAAAACAAAAAAATGCAACTCTCTCAATGATACAATTTTTAGACAATTGGTACATTCTAATAATTCAAATGTAGGTAAAACTAATACCTTTGATTGTTCAAGTACTGTATTGAATGGAATAGCAATGGATCCCAGCCAATGCTTGACATGTGGCTTAATATTGCACGTCTCGAGGCAGTCACTCTAGGATTAATAACAGTAATTCATTTATATGCTTACTTATTGTATCAAAATCAGAAAAGGTCAGAAATTACAGGTAGTATTTTTCAAGTGCAATACTTAAAGTTTGCTTATGGCATAATTTTTAATCGAATGCAATTTCTGAAGTGGGTTGATTTAAAGAGAATTAATATGCATGTCTTTCATGTACACTAGGATATTCTGTTTAAAATCATCAAAACATTTTATTTCCAATACATGTTTTTCTATGCAAGCAAGCCATTTTTGCTTCTCAGATTTAGCTATATAATGTTCCTGTGTGGTATGCTGGGAATTTTACTATTTTAAAGGCTCTATGAAAAGGCAAGTTGTTGTTGATTTTGAATTTTTAACACAAATTACATACTGTGCATATCAATTTTCCATATCTTTTGAATTAGTTTGAGATGTAATACATTAAAATCCAGCTCGATCAATAGAGATTGCAGACTGGCGAGACCTCAATTCTCGTGCAACTTAGAATGATGGCAAAAATATCAGCAAAATACTGTCATTATTCCACTGACACTAACAGTAAATTCAAGCATTCACACATCCACAGATTAACACAGTAACCTAGAAGTCAGTGTCCCTGATTCTAACCTCCGCTAAAGTTTGCACAGTTGAGTTCTCCCCAGTATGCAATCAAGGCTGGACTGGCTGTTAATGTAATACATTTCAAACTAATTCAAAAGATCATGGCAACTTGATGCGTACTATATGCAATGTGTTTAAAAATTCAAAATTAACAACTTGCCTTTTCATAGATCCTTTAAAACAGTAAAATACCCCAAGGTGCCGGACAGGAACATTATGCAGCCAAATTTGATAGCAAGCCAGATTGGCAACAATAGAAAAGGCAGGAAGAAGTTTGGTCAAAGACGTAAAGCCCAAGCAACTTAAGCCACAGCTGTCAATGGTACAGCAATCAAAATCAAAGATACCCAAAGGCCAGAATTAGTAGAATATGACTCTGAGAGTTGTGAGGCTAAAGATGAATTCATAGATAAAGAGGGGTTAGGCCTTGGATGAAATTTTTAAAATGGTGAGAACATTAAAATTGAGCCACTGTATAACTTTGAGCTTATATAGGTAAGTGAGCACATAGCTAGTGGATCAGCTGGACTTGATGCAAGGACAAGAGAAGCAGAGTTCCATGTAACCTCAGTTTTAAAGTGATAAGAACGTGGAATGCCAGGAATATGTTGGAATAGTCAATCCTAGGCATTATTGAGAATTTCAGCAATAGATGATATGAGGCAAGGGCAGAGATAGGTGATGTTAAAAACATGGAAACGAAGGTCTAGCTTTTGCAGCTAGGCTGCAGAGCACAACACTCCAATTGTGTGTGTCACTTCTATAGGGCACTGAGCAGCCAGCTGCACATGATCTTTTGGCAGACAGCTAGTTAAGGGTATGGATTTATAGTGGTCATCCACTTAAAATGTAGAGCTTGGAAGAGCAACAATTCCACTGGAAGATGCTGGCACACAGCTACCAACCTAGCGTTCACTGTTACTTTTCATCCAGGAAATGCAGTTTGCTTGTCACACCTAAATGTACCGTGTGCCTGCCTTTCGTCCAGGAGCTACAACCAGACTGTGTTCCATCCTGGACATTCTATCTAGGAGATCTAGCTTTCTTGTCTTGTGATCAGGGAAATGAAAAGAAACTTACAGTTGGAATGCCAGATGGAAGACTCGAGGTGGCCTCACAGTTTAGCAATGCCTTCCTACAGGCGTTCCTCTAATCATAAAGGACAAGGCAAGAGGGCCTCTTTTTTAGACGCTGGAGAAGGAGACCAACTTGCCTAACCAGGCAAACTTGGTCAGAGATCACAAAGGAAATTGACAGCTGTGGAATCACCCAAAGAACCTAAATCTAGGAAGGCCATTAATTACTTAATTTGATATGCCCCCTTGAATGCGCCATACTACTTTTCTCTTTAAAAGGTTGTATGTGGCAATGCAAGAGATAACCTTTAGCAGAGTTTTGCCCAGTTAATGTTAAATGTTCACTCAATCAGAGAAGGTTCAAATAGACTAGTTCCTGGGATGAAAAAGTTGTCTATGAGGAACAGTTACGCAGATTGGATCTAGCTCATTGGAGTTTAGAGAACAAGAGGGTCTTTTTTCTTGAAACATAAAAGATTCTGAAGGTATTTGTCATGATAGATATAGACAGGATATTTCTTATGGTGTGGGAATCAAGAAATGGAATGGGGAGGAGGTTAGAAGAAGGTCTCCCTTCAACTTGGATATCAAGAAAAATGTCTTTTTTCAGAGCAGAGCTAGGCTTTGGAATTCTCTTCCCCAGTGTGTAGTGGAGGTTGGGACATTAATATATTCAAGGCTACATTAGACAGATTTCTGATTGACAAAACAATCAAAGTTTATGGTGGATAGGAAAGTAAGTGAAGTTAAGGCCACAATGAGATCAGTCATGATCTCACCGAGTTGCAGCGTAGGCTCGATGTGTTAAATAGTTTCCTTCTGCTCATATTGTTTATGAACAAATAAGGGATCAGGCAGTAGCATTTGCTGCCAGGGCATGACCACATTCCTGTGAGAAATGCCATCATTTCTGACTTCCTGATAGTGTCTGCATTTAGGGGGTATTCATATGCTCCCAAAATGGCCTGTTACCAGCATAGGTGCAAGTTCATCTCCACTACTAGTGTTCTTTTTTGTGCTGCAGACAAAAACTGTACATAGCACAAAGGAAAGGAGAAAGTCCAGCAAAAGGATGTTATATGCATCCTCTGAACTCCTTGAGGAAGGGGCCTTGAAATCTGCAAGGCAGTAGGACAGTAATTCTATCATTGAACATTAAGGAAAAGTGGCAAAGCAAGAGAGTGAGTGAACTAGTGTGGGCCACAAAGATGTATCGTGCAAACATATGAAGTATAGTAGTCAGGTGTATTCTGGACACAGGAACCTCAACTCCACAGTATAGTTGCAATGATGCAACAGGAAACTCTTAATCTTTCAGCCTATATGTTTTCTCACACAGGTCAGATTATTGGCAAGGAAAGACAATTGGAAGGACCAACCAACAGTTCACCCTCTGAGGACACACCATCAAATTATTCTCACACATATTTCACCAGCACTAAAACTTGATGAAGACTGCATGAATGTACCTAAACAGGTTACAGAGGTGTGGACAGTTCAAGCCACTGACAGTTGGAGGACTATAGGAGGCCAGTCCATTGATGAGCCCCAAGCTTATGATATGCCTCTGCATTGAGAGGTAAGGGAACATCTGGCAGAACTGCCAAAGGCTGTGAGCACCTATGCATTGAACACAGAGGAGATCATCCAGGCTATGAGCTTTGTCTGTCTATAGCATGTGTAAACATGTCTTAATCCATGTACAGTTTGTTATTTCATGGAGAGCTAGATCCAACACAATAGTCAGTGGGTACCAGAGAAGAGCATAGACCTTCATGCCATTTTCTCATTCACGAGCTTTACACTGCATCAGCAAGACAAGACAGCCACAAGGCATACAGCATGTCTTTGTTCTTTTCAAGTCAGCAGGGATACAAGAATGTGTTGAAAAGCAGGAGGATCAACTTCTTTCTGCATATTAGGGCTCCTCTTAGGGAGCTTCTGGTGAGCACAGCAGTCCTTCTTGCCAGTTTATTGGTACCTTTAGTTATAATGTCATGGCCTCAAAACTGAAAACAAGTGCCTCTATGCCAAGCAGAAAAAAGGGCTATTTTTGTTTGGTTTAACAACCAAGCAGAGAGCTGGTAAGGACAAAATCTCTGCTAAAGGGTTGGGGATTGTGGAGATTTAAAGACCAACAAGTCACCAGAGGATGCTTTGCAACTGGAAATCCATTCAGTTATGATCAGAAGATTGAATGAAGGGAATTAGTTTTAAGAAGAACACCAGTATGATGAGATAATAATAAGAAATCTTGTTGTAACAAGGAGTAGCTTGAGTCTTCATATACAAAATCACATTTCTGCTGAGAGTGTGATGAAATGCACATATGTGGTGAGGAGCTTTCAACTGTGCTAAAAAAGTTAATGGGGAGTACCATTTCTGTAGTTTAGAGTATTAGCTGCATATTAAATAATGTTTAGTTGATGTTGATTTTAGTTTATTTGTTACAGTAAAAGCTTTAAAATGGGAAATCTTGTCATATCATTCTTTGTGTTAGTCAGTGGGAAACTCATAAATCATTTTAAAATTTACCATTCTTTTTGAGATTCACTAATAATATGCTAAGAAAGATCACATGTTTGTAGAAATTAAGCAATGGTGAAAGACTAATGAACTCAGATGCTGCTATTTTGAGCTAGAGGTTGAATTCACTTTGAATGAGAAGTCACTTATTGCAGATACAGAAGAAAGAAAGCAGTGAAAATATTTAAGTAAGAACATTTTTATGGTATCTGGTTGGACAGTAGAGAATGAGGATTAAAGATACAATAGGCCAAGCTGGAATAAGGGAAGTTTAGGGGAGGTGATGGCCTAGTGGTATTATCGTGGACTGTTAAGCCAGAGACCCAGATAATATCCTGGGGACCAGGGTTCAAATCCCCCCATGACAGATAATGGAATTTGAATTCAATAAAATATCTGAAATTAAGAATCTAATGATGACCATTGACAATTGTTGGGAAAAACCCATTTGGTTCACTAATGCCTTTTACGAAAGGAAATCTGCCATCTTTATCTAGTCTGGCCTACATGTGACTCCAGACCCACAGCAATGTGGTTGACTCTGATCTACCCTTTAGGCAATTAGGGATGGGCAATAAATGCTACCTGATCAGCGACGCCCTCATCCCATGAATGAATAAAAGAATAAAAAAGGAGCTGAGGTGCTCAAGAAAAGAGAAAATGCCAAAGGATTAGGGGAACAGATCAGGATGTGATTTGGGAACAAGAGCCACACCACCACAACAATTTGATGGAGCAAATGGTGGATAAAGCCAGGCAGGTTTTATTTGTGGTAAATGTGTACTCATCCTTCAGCCAGGATTCTGTTGTTACAATCAGCCACAATAAGTTTCCAAGTGAATGGCCATTCTGGAAGGAGATGTGGAGAGTGATGAATTATGTGGAGTTAAAGTTCAGGATTCAGTTGTGTGACAACATTTACAGAAATGAGGTGAAGTAAGAATGCAGCATCAGCAAAGAGGTATAGTGAGTAAAGTCCAGGAGCTATTTGAGGGGAGGGTATCTAATGACACACCAATGTTGATGCGACCATGAGAGTGAAGATTCAGGAGGTGACCACAGGCCAGAAGGAAGATGGTAGTTGGAGGTCACTATAAAATTGAGAAATAGTGGAGGTTGTACTTCAACCCATGCAAGCAAATCTCTGATCAGGAACAGACAGATTGTAACTGACGCTTAAAACAAAACAGTACAACTAATGCCTAGGCACAAATTAATGAGGGGATTAAAATACTTCAATTTCAATAACTAAATTACAGCAACAAGGATGGAAGGTCTATAAGCTGAACAAAGTTACTTCAAAATATAAGCAACCATGCAGCAAATCAATGATCAATATAGTTCAATGCAGAAGTATAGAATTCATGTCCAAAGAAGTTCATTTGTAGGCCAAATTTGAGAGACATGCTAATTCTTTTCCAAAGTGCAAACAGTGGTCATAGAACTGGAATTAAAGCTTTCAGAAAAATTTTAAACTTCTACTTTATTTTAATTTTGGGCAAGGTGGATCCACTGTCAGAATTAAAGATGCTGGGGTAAAGAGGAATTTGAGGGAGAAAGGGCAAAGGAGGGTAAAAAATGATCAAGAATGGATATACACAGTGAATATCTCCATAGGGAACTGACTGTCTAGAAATTATCTTAACCACCAGAGTCTTTTGGACAGTAATCATTGGTTTCAAATGAACGGCGCTAAAAAAAAACTAATGCAATGGGGATTGGAAACTGCAGGTCAGTTTATTTATGACTTGTTAGGTATATGATCTAACTTACTTCTGAATAAAGTATCAAACATTTAGTTGACTTTTAATACAGTCAGTGATGGTTAATAATTGTAACTAATGTTGCCCACTTCTCAAAAAGAACAATATGCATGTAGAACACCTTCAACATGGTAAAATGTCAGTCTTAAAGAATCAAGAAGAAACACATCCATGAATCTACTGGCCAGCTACTTTGACAAAGGTGAAAAGATAATGGAATCTTTACTCAAATAAGTAACAGAAAAAATACCTAGAATCAACAAGTATGAGTTGCTGTAGAAATTTCATGCTTGATCAATCTTATCAAATCATTTGAAGAAATGACTTGAACAGTAGAGAAGGCTAAAGTAATAAATGTAATAAATTTGTATTTCCAAAAGGCCACATAAGTACCACTCTTAGATTATCAAAAATATAATGTACATCAAAAAGCTTGAAAATTAAAATGATGCCATGTTACCAAAACAAAACTGCAATAAGGCAGCCCACTAAAATTCAGCATTAGTTATTAACATTTGCATATCTGTGTCGATAAAAATAAAGATCAGTGTTTTTACAGTGCTTTGTAAAAAAAATTCATTTTAAGGACCCATGTAGGTTTCATCCAAGCTCTGGTCATTCCCTAATCCCTCATGGCCCCCAGGCCTCACCCTACATGCACAGACAAAACATAATTCCTTCTTTGCCCCACTGCTCGACAATTTACTCTCAGTAGTAGCCTAGCTTTTCCAACAGCCTAATAGCAACACCGAGCTTTCCTAGGGCCCCAATAACCCCCTTCATTGCCAACCCATCATGACTGAAAATTGGCAATAAATATTGCTGAATATCCAGAGAATCTTGTTGAGGTATGTGATATTGGTTAGTGCTGCTTGCTACTATAATTCGATTGGCAAAAATTAAAATAGTGATGTTTGGAAAATTAGTGGTCATTCACCACAGCAGTTGAGACCCAGCTTCATTGCTCCCTTCATCAAGACTGCCAAACCATGGGACTGCATCAACTGGTCAGCAACAGAGCATGTCCTCCCAATGGGATGAGTGATGGCATCAGGGTATGGACTGGTACCAGGACTTTTTCTTGGGCCTGCTCCTGACATTATGAACAGAGACTATAAAGAAATTAAAAGGATAGAATTACATTTTCCAAAATTTGAAGTTCTTCAAATGTTGGGATAAAAGCACAACATATCCAGATTTATTAGTGTCACAAAGATGGGTAACACTGTAAGCTGGGTAGATGGATGTATGATTTACAAAGAGTTATCAATAATTAAATAAATCAGCAAAATAGTGAAGTTAGATTTCACTATAACCAAAAGTGAAGTCACCCACTTTGTACTGAAATAAATGTCACAGGGTGCATTCAATGAAAATCTAGAAAAAGTGAAGGTCCGGACAAACTTGGGGGCCCAAGTTACATAATCATTAAAATGTCATGTATAGGTATGGAAATTGATCAAAATGGCTAATGTAATGCTCATTTTAATATCCAGAAAACAATAATACAATGAGATGAATGTCATGCTTCAGTGATACAAAGCCTGCATGAGTACTATTGTTAAGAGTTCTGAGAACCAGACCTAAGGAGGAATATACTGACCTGGACGTAATACAGCAAAGATTTACCAAATCCAAGGTAAACATTATAGAAAGAAGTTACAGGAACATATGTAGTGTTCCCTGGAATTTAGAAAGTGATTTGATTAAATTTTTGAAGATATTAACAGAAACTGGGAGCATTGTCTAGAAAAATAGATTTTGATTGTTCAGGAGTGAGATAGGAAACATTTCTGTGTACAAAGAGTGTAAGATTTTGGAACTCCCATCCAGAAATGCAAATTCATATTAGGTCATTCAGTACATTTGAAACTGAGATTGAAAGATTATGATTAACTATTCAGGAAAATGACAAAGACAAGACATATGGTACCAGATTTTTAGCTCTTGGCAGGGCCACAGTGAAGATAGATGAACACTAAAAATAGCTCCCCCAATGCCCTTGGGCATTGAACTAATTAAAGGCAGGATTCCCAACTGTGATTTTTGTGACTTGCCTACAATTCCCTCATCTGCCTGGGGACAGGAGAGCTGTTGGACGCAGCCTCCCAGAAGCAAACCAGTGTGGACGGAGGCAGTGCTTCAGGAAAGTTTAGAGGCACAAACACCAAGACAGCTGGAGAAACACAGCACGTCTGGCAGCATCTGTGGAGAGAAAAACAAAAGTTCTGAAGAAAAGTCATACCAGACTCGAAATGTTAACTCTGTTTCTCTTTCCACAGAATGCTGACAGACCTGCTGAGTTTCTCCAGCATTCTCTGTGCTTGTTTCAGATTTTGAGCATTTACAGTATTTTGCTTTCATTGCAAGTTTGGAGGCATACCCTGCTTGCCAAGTTCAACTGAAACCACAGTCCACCCTGTGGCTATCAACAATAGCACTGATGAAACTGTCTTCCTTCACATTATATGTGAAAAAGTTGGAGAATGTGCACCTCCATTTTGGGATGCCCATGCTTCCAAAAGAATCTCAAAATCTTAATACATCATTAAGTGCAATAAACACCTCCCATGTAATAATGCAGCAGAGACTTGTTCAGAGTGAAGAGGAAACTGGTAGGAAATAGACATGAGGTTAGAGTGCTCCTAATCTGTAAATATTTGGAGCAAACGAATAAACACCATATTGTTTACTCAACCAGATATTTCTGGCTATTCTAATCCACACTGTCCCATTTCAGGCTTGAATGAACCCACATAAACCTCGTCACATTTACCTGCCATGGAATCCAGCTGCTTTCAAGTTAGAAGTCCTCCCACTGTTTATAAATATTCTCTTTTATATATTTTTCTCCCAAAATATATCACCTCACATTGCTGTGCATAAAATTTTATTTGTCTATTATCTCTCGAATCTACTAACCTTATGAAGTCATCTAATGTCTTCACAGTTAAGCTATTCTTTGTAGTCTTTTTCACCAATAAATTTTAACATCCTGTCCTTGATACCAGAGTCTATATTTTATATATATTGAGTGGCACTATGGGAAAGACAATGACCCTCAAACGACAACTACTGTTTACATGCTTCCTGACCGAAAGATACTTATTAACCACCATTGTTATTTTCACTTCTGGAGATTAACTATAAACTAGTTCATTTTAAATAAAGTAAGCTACAACTAATAACAAGGCAATGCAGTTGATACATTTTCAAAATATATTGAAGTACCTCTGGGTTAGGAACACTTATATTATCAAATATGTTAATTACTATCTTGTCCTTCATTTTGCATAAGGCTGCACTGTTGTAATCTCCATTAGGTGATCTATAATCAAAAAAATACGATTTTAGAGAAATTAAAAATTATTTCATGCAAGATCTACTTTTCATGTAGCTACATGACCATTTGAATACAGTATTGCTCATTGCCATTATTGAAAATTTCATTCTTTGCATTTATTTTTCATTTTTCAATCATCATTCTTTGAACAAAGAATCAAGTAGATATCTTATTCTTGACATCCAAAAATTGGTAATTAGTGACCAACATCTAAGAGATTCACTAGATGGCTGTATGCCATGTTGTCCATTGATTTAACTTAGAGGAAGTACTTTAAATCTCACTCAAGATGGAATTTAAGATATGAAGTTGCATATGCATGGGGCTGAATTTTAGCAGATATTAAGTTTATGTCAATTTTGGCGTATTTCATGGACGATTTCACTCTGTGAGCCCAAGCGAGATTTCTCTTGCTATTCTCTGAAACTCACATTATTAACTATTCACCATGCCTCTATGGTGCTCCACTCATTGCATCCTCCCTCTTGCCACAAACACCATCGGACTCATCCAAGCAGAATTCCAAGGCCAATAGGTTGCAGTATTGGGCAGGTTCTCTTCACCTCAGCTGAAGAACCCAGGGCTATACTGAAACATAGTGAGATGGAAAGGAAGCAGAGGCCCTCTGAGGACACATGGGTGGAACTTCATTATAAATATGTTCACACAATGGCAAATATATATTCATTGTTTGATCACTTTGTGGAAAAATGTCATTTTAGCTGCAGGAATCAAGGCACAAAGGCTAGCCATCCTTAGTGTTACTTGATGTTTTATCGTCCAAGGTGTGAAGTGAGCAGCTCCTCCACCATATGCAGGCTATGGGGCCTTAGAAGGTGATTGCCACTTTGGCAACTAGGTTGAATCTTTCTAGGCCACAACACATTGCCTACGTACCATAGCCATTAATCAGATTGATTTGTGATGTTGTTTGGTATTGATGAGAGTGCTTGGGACCAACATAACATTCCATAGAGTAGATCAATACAAAACGTTCACATATAGCATCTTGTGATCACAGGTTTCTTTCACCTGCACTGTGTAGATGCCTGTTTAATGCTATTGCCCTTTGAAGGGCCTCACATCACACAACAGTGGAATCACCTCCCTCACAGAATGAAACATTTACCCCACTTGCACTAGGTGTGGTGGCAGCCATTTTCATCTCCATTGAACACTTGCTATTTGGATGATGATAAATGGAATCATCAGTTGTGCTTGACAGAGTGATTCACAGACCTTAGCATTTCAGTCAAGGTGAATCCCTCAAATTTTCACATTCCCTTCTTGGTTTCCTTTCCTGTCAAGTCCATCAGCTTTGATCTTCCTGTGATCCCTCCCAACACATTTAATTTGATTCTTCATTTCCCCACTTTACCCACTGAGCCCAGGCATACCATGTCATTATGCCAGACATACTAGTGCGCAGCCTCCCGATTGAAGCTAGGGTGGTGCTCACTGTCGATGATCAGCCCTTCTTGCATTACCCCTTTCCATCACATAACTATAGTCTCCCCGACTTATGTGGTGAATTTTCTCTCTTCACAATTGTTATCCCGTCTGCATCCCGGTATGCTATCTCTAGTCCCCAAAATTGAATTCCCAAGTATTCTTCCCTTCCTTGACCAATTTGAACAGACAGCCCTGACTGATGACTTGAATGATCTATGCGCAGCTCTCCGACTGACATACCACTTCTCCCTGGTTACATTGGATATACAGGACTGAGCATTGTTGAAAATTGAGATCCCCTTAAAAACTTTTTATATTCTATAATTAGGATTTCCTGTGTAGCATGGGGCCTCATTTGACTGTGTTACAATAATAACTAGCCTCTACAAGCATAAAGAAAACATTTATCTTGTGACACTATTACATTATGCAACGTTTTGGAAAATAAGAAGTTTTTGTTCTTAGGGGCACTGAATTCTAATCTTCAAATGGAGATGTCCAAGGGGACAACAGTCATCTGACATCATGAGTAGCTTTCCTATGGTCATTGCCAAAATGATTCACATAATTCATGACAGTATAGGGTACCAGCCCCTTGAAACAGGGATCTCACCAAGTGCTCAGGAGCAGAGGACACTCCTCATTAGGCAATCTTTGTAGACAGTAGTCCTTGTCAGGGAGCTGTCTTCTCCAGATGGAAGATGGACAAGAACTCAAGGGGGAAGAACCAGGCACTTGACTACAGACCACAGTGCAGCCTTCACAACATACCATGCCAACAGTCTGTTTGTCCTCTGATATCTGTGAACCATCTCCAATTGTCACAGATGTATACTTCCTTTTTTTAATTAACTAACGTGTCATATCTAAATTGCTGCTTCTTAACAGTCTGAAAATGCTTACGAATGGGCAAATGCCTATATTAGTTAACTATGATGATGAACACTCAAAAGCAACACTATTGCCTACTCCCAGACATTACGGACCACTGACCCTGATCACCCAAGTGGCCAAGTGACCATGTTCAAATCCCTGGACGGATTTTGGAGGCTGCCCTTGACTACTGTGCTAGGACATTTTGTCTGAAGGCTGTCTCTCTTGACTTGACTGAAGACCACTGCTCTTAGGCCATTTGGTTGATGCACATGCAGTGTATCAACCACATATGTTGTTGGCAGATGTGTGAGATTGATGTAGCGTGGTGCCCAACAGCAGTATGTCCACCCCCTTGACTGGTAACTGCTGACAACCATGAAAATGAGCTTGGTTTTGTGTCTATGCTAAACAACAAGGCAGAATACAAGTACTGTGAGGCTTAAAGCTCTAAATCAAGGGGAAAAGCACATAAATACAAGCCAGAGAAGCTTTGAGCATCCAATTAGATGCAAAGTGAGTGACCAATAAGAGAGCAAGTGAGGATCATAAGATGTGTGCTGGGCCAATCCATAAGATGGCTGCCCTGGCATCATCATTGCAACAAAAGATGCCGTTGTGCTCCAAGACGCATCACCATATTACTGATGGACTCATACTATTTTTTCAACTTTCTTGACAATACCCATGTCATTCAGGGTCTAGAAAGAGTCCACCCACAGTTTCATATCAAATTGCAATATGAATTTATAAAAAGAAAATAATAAAATAAGTTGTGACCACATGCCAAACTTATTCAAGCAAGAACTTTGATGAGATGCTCATCTTACTAAGTTATTACAATTTATAATTGCACTTATATTTAATTATCCCTTTTCAGATTAAAAGCTAATGATAGGTGTAACTGTAGTTTGAGAAACCAATGAATCAACTTGATTTGAATAAAATCTCAAAATGATTTTTGAGAAGTGTATGCAGATTTAAGGGTTAATATTTATATATCACCTTTAGCGCACAGATTAAGCAAACTATTTTAAACAAATTACTTGAAATCCATTTCAAGTTTTTCATTCCAACATGGCTGGGTTCCATCAGCAATACTTGTCTGATACATTGATTGCTGGAAAGTAACTTCAACAAATGGTTGCACTTGGATCTATGCAAGATAAAAATACAATTTATTTATTCATAGGTTTTTTATAATTGTCTACAAATGCAAGTGCAGCGATGTTTTCCTTATTGTACATTTACAAGATTAATTTTGAATGTATTCATTCTAGTGAAGAGAAACTTCATCCGTACAGCAATAACTTAATGTAACTTATTAACTATAATGCCTTTAATGTGATGGAATATAAAGGCGATTTAATTACAAGTTTCCTGTTTCCACTCATGGTGCCAGGTAGTGTCATCACAGTGGGGAAGCCTGCTTCAATAACCTGTCCAATTCAAAAACAGATTTAATTAAGCTGATATTTTGTAGTGGGTTCAAGGGCTGCAACTGGGTCTGAATAGAGAAAAGATGGGTACACAGTGGGTGTCCAGTCATGGAACCCCAAGAAAATAGGTGGGACCAATAAAAGTGAGAGTGACTGAAAGAGGGACTCAGACAATAGTATACAGCTTTTAGGTCTGCTCAGGTTGAGGGGACAGTAGTTACTAAACACTGAGATAAAGATATAAGAGGAGGTAACAACCACATCAGAGCAAGCAAGGAAGCTGACAGCAGGACCATGAATCATCATAGAATCCCTACAGTGTGGGGACAGGCCCTTCGGCCCAGCAAGTCCACACTGACCCTCAGAGCATTCCACCCAGACATGTCCCCTGTTAACCAAGCTAATCTACACATCACTGAATACTATGGGAAATTTAGCATGGCCAATCCACCTATCCTGCACATCTTTGGACTGTGGGAGGAAACCAGAGTGCCCAGAGGAAACCCATGCAGACACGAGGAGAATGTGCAAACTCCACACAGACAGTCGCCTAAGGATGGAATTGAACCTGGGTCCCTGGCGCTGTGAGGCAGCAGTGCTAACCACTGAGCCACTAAGCCACTGTGCCACCCCCTGTGATAGAACATAGAACATAGAACATAGGGCATAGAACATAGAACATAGAACAGTACAGTACAGTACAGTACAGGCCCTTCAGCCCACGATGTTGTGCTGAACTTTTACCCTAAACCTAAGGTCTATCTAACCTCCACCCCAACCTTATACTATCATCCCTATGCCTGTCTAATAGCCGCTTAAATGCCCCTATTGAGGCCGACTCCACTACCCTCTCCGGCAATGCATTCCTCGCCTCTACCAATCTCTGAGTAAAGAACCTACCTCTGACGTCTCCCCTATATCTACCTCCACTCACTTTAAAACTATGCTTCCTCGTAATAGCTACCTCCACCCTAGGAAAAAGTCTCTGGCTGTCCACTCTATCTATACCTCTGATCATTTTGTATACCTCTATCAAGTCACCTCTCATCCTTCGTTGTTCTAAAAGAAAAGCCCTAGCTCTCTCAATCTTTCCTCATAAGACCTGCCCTCCATTCCAGGCAACATCCTGGTAAATCTCCTCTGCACCTTTTCCAACGCTTCCACATCTTTCCTGTAATGAGGCGACCAGAACTGGACACAATACTCCAGATGTGGCCAAACCAGGCTTTTGTATAGCTGGAGCATAACCTCATGGCTCATGAACTCAATCCCTCCATTAATGAAAGCTAACACACCATACGCCTTCTTAACAACTCTATCCACCTGGGTGGCAGCTTTCAGGGAACTGTGGACATGAACCCCATGATCCCTCTGCTCCTCCACACTGCCAAGAATCTCTCCGTTAACCCTGTATTCTGCTTTCAAATTTGTCCTTCCAAAATGAATCACCTCACAGTTTTCAGGGTTAAACTCCATCTGACACTTCTCAGCCCAGCTCTGCATCCTATCAATGTCCCTTTGCAACCTAGAACAGCCCTCCGCACTATCCACAACTCGACCCATCTTCATATCGTCCGCGAACTTACTAATCCACCCTTCCACTCCTTCATCCAAATCATTTACAAAAATCACAAATATCAGTGATGTCAGTCAGATTTCATGTTCAGTGGCAATGAAGGACAAAATTTTCCACAAGGAGAGCAGAACTGTGGACATGAGAAATGCAGAGAAAAGGATGAGGGCAGGATAGTAACTGAGGTGCTACCCTCAGCACAGAGTTTACCAGTTAAAACAAAGCTCCCTGGTGTTGTCAAAAAAAAATAGCATCACAAACCAGTGCATATTATCATGCCTTGCCCTGCCTGCGTCTGTTAAAGCTAGGATATTGAAAATATCCTGGAAGTTCCTGCACGCCATAGCATCTCACAGGTCACCCAGTGTCTTATATCCTGGAAGTTCCTGCACGCTATAGCATCTCACAGGTCACTCAGTGTCTTATTTGCACAAACTGCTCAGTACATTCAGTTCCAGACATATGGGAGGCTGCCTGCACAAAGGGGCAGAATTCTGTCTATTTTGGATGCCAACTGATGAAAACCATCAAGAGAAGTGTATAGTAAACACATAAGTGCAGCAGATACACATTAAAAAGTTTTATTTCAGATAATGCACACAGACTGTGTTCTTACAACCATCTCAGAATATCACAAAGGGATGATACTACTAAAATGTAATTCATTAATGGTTCACCTAAGCTAGATTCAAACAAAATTACTATCAGTAAAGAGTTGCTACAAAAATAATTAAATCAAAAATTCCATGCAATCATCATCAGTCTCAGAAACAATCTGTAAAATCTGTGTAGAAGTAAAAAACTATGATCGATAACTTCCTGGCAGGGTTCCTGATCATGTAACGTAACTTCTTGACAAATCCAGAAGCAGTTTTAAACACTCTGAAAAACTACTTTCCATATGTATACATATGCTCATATTTTAGTACTACTCTCTGCATTGTTACCATACTGTACAGTCAATAAAATATGGCAAGGAAGAAATACCAAGCAGAAAACCAACACAAGTTGTCTGCTAGTAGCATGCTGATAGACTCAGATAATGTGGCTGATTGCCAAGATCCTATTCTACTGTTAGTTCAGGAATGTTCATTTCTTCACTTCTACCATGCTAGTTGTCTTTAGTCTCTTCATTTTTGTTGTAAGATCAGTCAGTTCAGTTCCAGAGCAACATTACAGGATCTGCTCAGGATAGTGTCCGAGACCCAATTATCTTCAACTGCTTTATATTTAACCTTTACTCCATCACAAGTTCAGAAGTGACAATGTTCACTGATGACAATGAACAGCACCATTCACAATTCAGTAGATACTGAAGTAGTCGATGTCGAAAAACATCCAGAATAGGACAACAACACTCAAGAAACTTGACACTATCCATGATGAAGCAGGCCACTAGAGTGGCCAGTTCGCTCCCTTCATCACCAATGCTCAGTGGCAGCAATGTTAATTCTACACAATGCACTGCAACAACTCACTGGGGCTCTTTAGACAGCACATTCTAAACCCACGACCACCACTATCTAGAATAATAAGAGCAGCAGATACATGGGAACACCACCACTTGCAAGTTCCCTTCAAGCCACAAACCATTGTGACTTGGAAAGGTATCACCATTCCTTCATTTCACTGGGTCAAAGTCCTGGAAGCCAATTCCTAACAATATTGTAGGTGTACCTACAACAAATGGTCTGCCTTGATTCAAGATGGCAGGTCACTACCACCTTCTGAAGTGCAACTAGGGATAAATAAATGCTGCCTCAGCTAGCAAAACCAAAATGGTATTAACAAATAAAAAATAATCAAACAAGGTAATGCACAATGTATCAGAAATCATTTTGATGGGTAAGCTGTCATTGCCTATTCTTCTTCCTCCAGATCAACTCGTAAAACACAGTGATCAACTGCTCATAGATATTTGTTGGCAGACCTCAATGACAATCCTCTCAGCTAACAACCAAAGATGCAGACAGCAATCACCTTTAAAAAGAAATGAATAACTGCAGTTATGAAACTTAACAACATCAAGCAATAAACAATGAAGTTGTTCAGTTAACTACTTGTTGCAACTATCAAGCAGATTCCGCATTTGGGAAAAAACAAAACTATATGGACTTTGTTGAGACTCTATTATAGGGCAAGGACCTCTTTTAATACTTTGAGTTGAGATCCTGTGATCTTAGTGCATTCCTGTTGTGAAGCCACTGAACATCTGAGATGCTTCTCTGCTGTTTAAGTCTGCTCTTGCACAATGAGGGAACAGCAGATTTAACTACTTCCTCCAAATAAAATATATTCCCTGTACCTGATTTGTATCAACAGTAAGGGTGGAGAATCAACCCTCTTACTAAAATAAAGGCACAAAAACAAGCTATTAGACTGAGTTTGTGCTTAAAGTTGTTTTGCAAAGCCCTGAGATGGTAAGAGACATTATTTTAAGAAGTTATATAAAATATACCATAGTACATTAAAACATAGTATAATTTTATTGATTTACTGTATTAATTAGTATTAATTGTTTTCTTGGCTTTTAGAGATAATTTTAAATGTAAACAAATGTTATAACATTTGACTGAGTAGAACAATCTTTGTACCTGATTAAAAAGATCATCTTCACCTTCAGGCTTTCTGAAATGGATGTTATTGGACATGCCAGACACTGGAGACAATAGGCCATACAGTGGTTGTGACCTGATAATAAAATCATTCTGCAATATAGTGATTTTCCCTACTAAAACTGAACATGTTTAATAGCACAGAATGCAAAATAACTTATGAAAACTTTTTCACTTAGATTCCAAACGGAGGTTTGAGAATATACATAAGCTGAGTTAGTTGAACAAAACAAATATTTTCCATTCGATGTAACTAAAATTTTCTGTGAAAATTTATGTGTGAAATCAGGCAGAATTTTTGTGGAATCAGGAAGATTTAACAGACCGTTAAAAATGATGGGTGTGACGCAGAAGTCCCACACCCATTTCTAACAGATTCAATTTTTGCAAGCAGTGGAAGAGTCAAGGCATAATTCACAGAGGAGAATAACCCAAACTCAGCAGGGTCATTTAAACTTAAAGCTGATTTCATTTAGACATCATTCTGGTTGGTTCAAGGGCTTTAACCCATTGTGGCAGTCACAAATTA